AAAGACCTAGACACCGATGATTGTCAAAATGTTTCAAAAACAACTTAGTACCTTATTCATTTTCAAGTAAGTACAAAGATCTGCACTACGATTCGACAAAATGTTACATGGTCCAAGAAGGTTAAGAGGGAAATTACACGCATCGTATAAATCTCTTGTGAAACGGCTTCCATTGGTAAAATCACAATTCATTGGCCTTGGCTGATAGCTTGACAAAAAAGTGCGCATGAATGCGGTATATTTGGCTTCGTCATTTGAGTCGTAAAGGGGAAAGGGAGAGAGACTTCCCTTGGCATCAACAATTGGTAAAAATGCAAGCCCTAAAATTCATGAATATTTTGACCAAAGAAGTCCACACTGGACATGTATAATTCAAATATGTATGCAGCTGAAGTGTTGGATTCCAGAATTTCAAAGTCTTACAGGGCGTAGCATTTTTTCCCGTTTTTTGAGAAAAAAACTTGGAATTAAATAAATCCTATCTATTAAAATGGTGGTACTTCAGCATTAAAGACGAATACAGCAAAACACTGACGACTAGTGAAAGTGGGAAACCCGGTCAGATTCTAAGGGTATACAAGCTTATTCATGACTAACGCACTTCACAGAAGTAAGATAAATAAATGACCGCTTACGCACCTGGACTAAGCCGCAGTAAACTTTGTCCTCCTGTGAGAGAAGGCACACTTGCGTCGATTACAACGTTCGTAACAAAGAAAATTAACCCAGTCAAAAATCCGAAGAGGCACGTGTAAAAGATCACATAAAAAATGAGTATTTGGCCTAGAAATATGAATGTGTGAAGCAACAGCTACCCCAGCTAGATAGCGTTCTACTCAAGAACGTTCCTTCCTTAGTATTAAGGATAAATAGGCCCAAGTGACGCAATCGTTGAGTGGACTTTGACTTAATTTCTGCAAGTTTCTTCATGACTAGGAATGGAACATCCAAAAAGTGTGACCGTAGAGGCCGTGCGTAGCTGTTAAAATCAATCCATTTAAACAAAGCAGAGTAATGCATATTTATGTTAAAAAACATGCTTGCTTGGCATGAAATTTTTTTAATTAGGCATAAAGCTATGTAATAGTGATATTTAAAAATGTTCTAAGCCTGTGTTCTAGTGCCAGCGCACAAATATTTTGAAGATATTTTTAGTTCTATAATAAAATATTCAGGTGATTCTGATGAAATTGTTTTTATTTGTTGATGATAAACTTTTAGGAAATGTTTTCTAAAATTCTGTTTTAAAGTTCTGTGGTAGGTCTTCCCTTTGCACACAGCCTTAAATCGACCTCAGGGTTGACTCAAGGTGCTACGCATTACTCCGTCAAGTCTTACAACTCATAATGGCTAACTTGGCAAATGTATCAATCTAGCTACATTCTCAATGCAGCACCACATTCGCTTACATATTCCATGGCCACTTAAGTGCTGTCCCATTCCGACATGCACTTAAACACAACTACCTCTTTTCATAAATTTAGCGCATTTTATTTACCGCAGCAATACAAGCATCAAGCAGACATTTGTACAGCAGAATCCTCAAGGAAGCAACTGTTGTGGTCATGTTTGTCAACAAGTTAAGTGAATATATGACGGATAATTGCATGCTAAAACCTATTTACAGATAACCGTCTTTTAAAATGTCACTTGGAATCTTGCGGCAGAAGTGATGTCAAGCCGCGGGAAGTCTTATCTAAAATGAATGAAAAGAACGTTGGTGTTGAGATGATATTTACTTAGCATCACAAATACGCAAGCATCGTCTCAATCAGCACGGACCCTTCACAAGGAACGGTCTTGTAGTTCCACTACACGTGGTTATAGACGAAGAGTGTGTCCTATCACGCGCGGTAATATCCATGTCGCATGCCAATCGCCCTTCCAGACATCGTGATTTCAGATAACAGGCCACAATTGTGGTGGGTACTGCAATGCTTTAATTACTTAGTTAACTCGCCGTTTTGGTTTCGCGGGCACTTAAGGTATGGCTCCCAAACCATGCCGGTGGCCAATCCAGTCATTCTCTACGTCAGTAATACGATTTTCACTCTAGTATATTGACCTCTTCATGGACTTCAGGGAAGAATTGGAACGCTGCATTAGTGACAGCAGAAAGCAAACTCGATTGTGGATGACAACTATCCTGGATTTACATCACTGAACGCTACAACATGAAGTAACGGATGAAGTGCATATGCTGCGAGTGGAAAAACATGTGACGATCCCTAACAGAAGGGTTGAAAGTGACGTTTGCATTCGGCGAACACCCCAGTTCCGTGTCCTGCAGCACTTATGCGATCGACCTTTCTCCTTCGTAAACTATGCCTCCGTAGAAAACAAAATTAATTATAGACAAAATCATACACAAATTTTCCTTAACTAGCAATTTTTTACTTTGGGTGATTCTTCATAGATTAAAGATTGACAGGTAGGTGAATCTAGGCTTTACCTTCAAGGGAAGTTGCAGGATAGTTCGCCGTAGAAACGTTGGCAGAAACCACCTTTCGCCTATCAGAGACGGAACTAAGATCAACAACACCTGCTCGGGGTAGAGGCGTTCCTTTGGAGGGTCGTGTCAGTGGCTCACACCGCCATCGACAGTTTTCCACATCCGCGGTGGTTAAAAGTGCAACCATAGAAGTCGTCGAGTCCATGTTTCTGGAAACATCAAAGAAGCCGTGCTTATGAAGGCATTTTAGCAGACGTCTTCTAGACTACTTCTTTGTTATTCTAGGTTTATTAAGGTGCAGGCATCACTGGGGTATCAAATCTCTCGAGCTCCACGTGCTCTTGGATGTCTATGGTTGCGGTTGCCATCTTAGTGGCTTCTGTTAATTTTTCGACAAGATCCTGCCAGTTTCATACATCTTTTAGGATCGTCTTGGACGACCTGGTTGTAACAGGTATTATAACACATAAAAACCGCTTTATTTTTAACTAGCATTTTTCTGGTATTTAACAAGAATGCTACCATTCGAACTATTTTTGCACGACTAAATTTTAAACAAGTGAGGATCAGCTTGTCCATGTAACATTTCACCCGTCTGTCCCGAACTGAAATGTCTAGACAGAAGATTTGCTGCGCAGCCACCTACTTATGAATATTTAAGTAGCGGTGGTGAGCAATTTAACTCACGACGACACGCCTCCTTCGGTTTCACTGACAGGGAAACGCTGAAACCGGCTCAGAGTGCTAAATGGCCGCCTTTTGCCTTCTATGTCCATGGTGGTGAAGAGGGGCATGGTGAATCTGTGCAGTGTGCGACCGTTCAACGGATCCGGTGTAGTACAACACTTCTTTCGATGGTTCGCCACCTTTGACGATTGGGTCATTTGCGTTGTAGCAGTAGTGGCGACGATGTTGTTCAGTCGTGGCCTATTGTGCTCCAACATCGACAGACTCGATGTTGAGTGGCGTCTGATCACTAATACAACAGTATTGCTGATTAGTCATTTGAGTGGACCATAATATATATGTGGCATATCTACTTTCCTTTACACAAATTCTACACAATTGCCAGAATGACTTCGAATTTCAGCTAAACTCACTGCATACACGCCACCAATTCATGGCGTCCTATCCACACGCCCTTTTTTCGTTGGCAAAATAAGCTAACTATATTTCATCAACTTACTGTACAATCCGCCTTTGCCGGCCTTTTTCTCACGAGCACCAGCAGTATCACTGCTATCGGTCTGAGAGGTAAGTGTCGATTTACCCATAACACTTCTCGCCTCATACACTGACCGCACCCTCGCCAATAACTCCTCCACCCCTGACTTGCTATTCAGCGTCTGTAGAGTGAACAGAGTGTCGTAGAGATCGCCATGGATGGAGGATTTTTGCTCCTCTCCTCCCTCACCACCATCGCCATCATCCTCTGTCACTTCCAGCATCGCTCTCCTCCATTCCATGTGTTGCCTTTGAAGGGCACTGCGTAGCGGCTGACGTAGTTGTGGGGACTTTGCCCTTGTCGCCGCCACCTCCTCCTCCTTAACCATCACCGGTATCTCCTCCTGCGTCAGACTCCTTGTACGGTCCAAACGTGACGTCCTGTCAAGATCAAGGTCAGCGACCTTTCGAACTGGTATGGGAGTTAGGGACCGCCCAACAGGGGCGGAGACTGGGATTGGATTAGTTGAGGCTAGAGTGCTGGCGGTGGAGGTGGTGTTGACGACTTTCCAGTGCTTTGCCCGTAAACGCTGTGGAAGCGTTCGAATCGCGCGCGATTGGCGTGCGAATTCTGTCATTGCACGTTGCGCACGTCGACTGAGAAGGTCAGACGGGGTGAAGGGGCGGACGGAGGTGGAAGAAGTAGGTTCGGAGGTAAGGGAAACTAAAATGAGAACATGGCAATTCGATACAGAATTTTCAACACAACAGGTAGCGTCAATCCGTCCAATAGTTAAAAAAAGTACCAGATGGACTGGTCTCCACCACTCGGCATAGATTAATGGATACTTGCTAAATGACTTTTGCAGCATTGTCCCGCAATATAAAGGCAAGTCACAGGTAAAATTTTGATCAAACATTCCGCCTGTCCTGTCAACTATGTGAGAAGCTAGTCTCTTAACTGCTCACTATGCAAAAATGTAAAAAATGGAATATTTTTGCCATAAAGATCGCACGAAGCGTTGGGATCAATTCTGCAGCAACTATTTTGCGTTTAGGCCTCTGTATCTAGGGTAGATTTGCAAGTCAAATGCTTTTTTCGCTTTTCTACTTTTTTGTGCATTTAAGTTGTATGTAATTCTTTAAGCGTGATGCTTTTACTACTAAATTAGGGTAATATTCACGGAGTAAAGCAAAAAATCCAATATAAATTAATAAAATCTAGCAGCAGAATTTTGCGCAAAAATCTGAATACCCTCCTTGCTGATTGGTTAATCGAGTCTGCAAGAACCAATCAATGCAGAGTTAGTACCCGGCTTTTGATTATATTAATCGTTGATTGGTGGAAAAAGGGTGTAAAGATCTGAACTCTTGCCTGACGTTCGTGTGAACTCCTCACTGTTGTCAATCACATCGAAATTGACTTCCGCCTCGTCTTCTTCATCGTCAGGATGTAGAGGGAAAATTTCATTGGCGTGCACGATAAGGAGTTCGATGAGGCCTTTATAGGTGCCCTGGATGGCCAATTGTGCTGGTCTACGCGCAAAATTCAGTCGTAAATAGGATTGCTCCCATCGAGAGGTTTGATTTAAGCCGTTGATTCAATCAAGCATTGTCGGGCCATTTGTACACTTTTAATGATAACAAACTAGGGACAATATTTCTTGATCCGAAAAAAACAAATTAAAGATTATCAGACGAAAAATTTTCCTGGGAAATGTCTACAATTGAAACAACCAAATACGCTTGCATAAACGATTATAAAAGTTACACAATCAAATCTTTTTTTGCCGTCCCTCATTGTCAAAATTCACGTTTGCTTGTTACCAATGGGGTATAGAATGTTCAACAATAGTGAGAATGCCTCGTTTTGAGATGGAAAGCAAAGAAGGTTTCAAGTAACATCTACTCAGCAGCCAACAGCACCACATGTGATAAGCCTCCGTCTGTTAAGTTACTTTTAGTGGATAGTTCTTTACAAACACTCGCCACATACACAGTTTCATTCTGATGACCACCACAATTGGAATCCACCGAGGCTGTGGTTGGAGGTCCGTCTGCACTTGTGGAGGCAGAGGAGGAAGGGGAGACAGCGGGAACAGGGGGAGCCAGTAGGGAGGGGCCAAAGATGATGGCTAGACCAGCGGGAGTCATGCGATTGCGTACTGAATACTCTGTGAAGCGATGTAGGAAACGGAAGAGGTAGCCGGCGTTTCGCTCATACTCCGGCGGCATTCGATGAGCAATTTGCCGAAGACGACGCAACTGTACTGCTTTATCTTTTCTGAAAGCAAATATCCAGGAAAAGAGTATCGTTTAACATTCTTAGGTTTAAGCTACAAAAAGATACTACCGCAGCAGTAACAAGCACAGCAGTAAATTCCATTACATTCTGTTACTACTCGCAAAAAGTGGTGCGCATGATGCAGTGCCGATGCTCATGTAGCATACAACTGGAGATTAATTTTACCTTACTTCACCAACTTTCTAAAACATTAGGATTGCTTTGCAAAATTGTTTAGATGATGTATTGCTGCGAATAATGTACTGCCTTACGTTGGCAGAAATATGATGGACTATTACCACTTAATAACTCTATGGGTGATACTACGCATCGCGAAAAAAATACACAAGCATAATCCTTGTCCCAGTCTTATGCAACAATAGCATTGAACACCGGGTTTATGGAGTAAAACAATTTTTTGGGGGGTGTCTAGACGATTTGCACAACTACTTAAATGAGAAGTTAGTAGTATTTGCATACATTTCCAGGGCTCGGGTCCATTCGCCGAGGAGGTGGGAGGTAAGGAGAGGTTGTGGAAGGCTGCGTAGGTACTGCTTCATCGCGTCCGCCACCACATAGGGGTCGTACTGTGAGATCACAGTGCCTGCTCGCAACGAATTCAACGCGCTCTTGAGGAAAGAAATTAAAGTATTTTAAGGAATAAATAAATTAATGGCGAAATCTTTTGGGCTTATGACGCGCGAATTAGGAGCGTCTACTTTAAAAACACAAAAATCACCAATGACGGCGGGTAAGAGAATGGAAAAGGTATATTAACGAAGGTATTGCTACAGAAACGCAGCACTCATGGCGCTATTTAAAGTCGGGATATGTTTCGAATAAAATAACCAGGGAATACTAGGGAATCGTCATTGGAACTGGCTGTCTCAAAGATTCAGGAAATCTATCGCCTCCTACAATATCCACCATTCTCCAAAAAGACTACCCTAAATTGCCTAAAATCTGTGCATACAAATTCACCGAACAAACTTCTATTAACTGGAACCACTGGGCAAATTTCGAGTTATTAATTTCTTTTTTTCTAAAGAACGTACCTTTAGCGTGTCGACTTTGGTTTTGCTTCCAGCGATTCGAAAAATTCCCTGAAAAGCAACCACAAATAGTTTTATCCAATGATATAAAATAGTTTATAGTCTCGTGGAATTAAATAATGGGTGAATTTTGCATTTTAATTGCTATTTTGATGGAGCCACACTATTATATACCTTTGAAAACGAAAATGAATTTTAGGGAATCACGGTGTCCCACCCGTGTTTTGATGAACATGGCCAAAAAAATTTGTTTTAAAATATTTTACCGTGTTCGGTAAGTAGTAATGTATTCTACACATCTACCCACCATGGAAGTTGTATAGCACTGTTATTTTAGCAAAACCCTCCAAATAAATATAAAAAAGTAAATTATAAACCAACTGTCTAAAATTTTAAGGCCACCAGTCTGCTTTTAACCACGCGGGCTTTTCAGTCGGTAACTAATCGCAAACCAAATAAACATAGTATATTTATGGAGGTATGATCATAAAAGGACCTTAAATAAATTCTCTAAACAAAATAGTTGGTTTCTCAGGAGTTAAATCTGATCTTTTTTAAAAAAGTGCAGAAATGAATTAAGGATACACCAATACTTGGTTTGATATAGGGTGTTAAATAAGTACTTTTACTTTAAAAAAAGTTTCATGACTATTTCAAGACTTTAACATCCATCACTCTTTACCACGTCAGAAGCCCCATCCGTATTTTTTATGCCGGGCGCATGAATGACCTATTTTTGAATCCTTAATTCATTAAACTCAAATGGAAGTTTCGTTGAGGATGGGAGGAGAACAAAGTAAGCTGTTTGACTTATTAAAACAAACAAAGTTTTCAAGGACGACCTCCTACAAACATTTAAGCACCAATTTCTCTACGAATCTCTGAATTATTACGCGTCTTTTTATACGAGTACACCGGTGGTAGGTGTTTTAAAGCAAATGGAAAGACTGAGCCTCATAATATATTTCTCTGAGACTACGTTGGGTCGTGGCTAACTCCCAAGCTCTTGACTCCAACCACGAGAAGTTTCTGCAGGCTCCTACTGAAATCCATCGAAAATGGGCTAGTATCGAGCCAATTACCTCTTCACAAAGAGCCGTGGGGTTATTCAACGCCCGAATGCATTGTCGCAGAGGGTAGGCAATCTTCGCGTGGGTCACCGCCAAATGCGACTCTAGGCTGCGTCCATACACGGGCAGGGGGCACTGTTCATCTGAGAGGCATCATTAAAGTCATGAATAAGTAGCTAGCACTCACACTGGCATCAGCAGTGTTAATTTTGTGTTGAAAGTAAATGATAAAAGTACCCAGTTCGGCTCGCAGGAGGGGTGCCAATTCCTCCAAAATGGCCGCACAGGTGCGATGGTAGGCAGCTGAAATCTCAACCATCTCCACAAGGGCCTGCGAAAATTCCAGTGTGGAGATCGTCTCAAAGTTGAAGAGCTCACGCAAAGCCTTCTCCTGAAGGAGAAAAAGAAGTTGGATGTTAGGGAAATTTTATTTAGCTCCGCCATTGTTTTCAACACCTGTGCACTCAAAATCAGCGTTTCAAAATACACTGTGGCATTTATTTTTTCATTTCCAAAAGACTATTTTGATTGTTTAAAAGTTTTCATTGGAACTTTTATTGTCCTTTTACTTTATGGTCTACCTAAGAAATCCCTTTTTTGAAACAGCTTATTGGTTAAAGGGATTCGCTGGGTTAAAATTACACAATCTCACCTTGAAAAGTTGCGATTCCGCTTCCAAGTCCTCTTTAATCGCGTTCAGCTGAGTCGCTTTGGCCGTCCTAATGAAACTTCCATCGCCGTTCGGGGTAACTGCTGTAACCCCCCCAGGAGATACAGTTTCTGAAAGAGATAATAATATCGCTACTAATAATAATTCTACAAACATACTAGTCTATCTGCGATGACGAAACTGAAGCAAAAAAGAAATATATGAGAGGATCTAGTCTAAGGAAAGATGATTGAAAACCTCACGTTTTTGTCATTTGTTAATGGTGCTTAAGTAGTTCGGCTCAGATGCAATGACTAGTAATAGCTTACCCTTAGACGAAGCGGTGACCGGTGGAGACTGGTGGCTGCTTTGAGAAATCGGTATCGGCGCGCTTCTAAGGATACTACGTCCTGATTGGCTACTTTCCGCCGAATTTCCGTCCCCTTGACTAGGAGAATTCATCGGTGTTGACAGATTCGCTGACAATGGAAGTTGATGCTACACGAAACAAAGGTGACTGAAAAATATCCGTGGCTGAATTTCATTGAGTGTTTAATGCAACACATTAAACCCATCGCGTTTACTAAACATAGTCGACTAATCATACCCAGTTTCCATCAGATCCATTCGGTGATTGAGCCTCCTCATTCAAGGTGCCTTGAGAGCTGACCGCTGAGGTAGAAGCACGGGCAGCGCGTTCGCTAACAGAACGCAACTCGCCGCCAGCACGCCAGGCCTGCCTTCGAGCTCGTGCCATCTCACTGTTCGGTCCGGTTGCATCAGCTATGCGTTTCATTGGGCCAATCACGCTCTCGTGTACGCGAGCTCCCCAATTCAGGCGAGCCTGTGCCAGTCGGCTCGAGGCTTGGCCACATCCAAAGAGGAGGTGACTGAAATAACGTTTTAATGGCAAATCAGGAGTCTAGGTGTTACATTTGAGTCTGCTGAACCAAACTTAGGCGGATTTAGGAATGCCTACTGAAAGATATTCAGTACGGTTTACTTTATGCCGAAACATTGCAGTCATTTGTCAGTACTTATTAATCAAATTTGTAATTTGTCGGAAAAAGAACGCTTGTTTAGAGGGATTTTTATAAAAACAAAATGTTCGCAGCAAAACGTCTCATTTTATTCGTGATTTCAAAAGAAATGATTCCAGGTAGACAAAATAAAGTGTACGCCTATTCACCAACGCAGTATCATTTAAAAGTCAACCTTGACATGGCCTATTTGAATAAGGTTTTTTCTATTAATTAACTTAACTTTCAATGTAAGATTACAACTTATACCTTTTTAAAACAGACTAAGTAGTAAGTAAATTAGCTGGGACATAACAAAAAAGGTATGCAGTTCACCTAAGTTAAGAATGAACTACTTCTGCCACGTGGCAACCCCAAGTACTGCGTTCTTTCAGACCATTTTGTTGGATGGCGTTAACATAGTGGTTTGGAAGAGGAATCACAAAGAATATTTCCCTAAGTAAAAACTGTAAAATTCACTGTAAATACACTAGCCTTCGACTTCAGTGTAAGGCAATCAAATGGGTTTCTCCTGACAAGACGCAAGCTTGCAAAGCTTTTTGCCGCCAGAAGCATTGAGTGGCCATTTAACTTCCCAGATGATTATGTGCTTGTCTAATACCGAAAAACGTGACAACCGCTTCTGAAAGCAAGGTGAAGAATGAAGGTAGGGTGGGGATGAGACACCCCCCCCACGCATCTTAGCCAGGGTGCTAATCTCCCCACGCTCCAGTTTTGTGGTGTGAGGTATGAACACCAATTTCTTCCCCACTGATTAACTAGTCCATAGGTTTTTTTTTGCCCGTCTTCGGGTTGCGTTTGCAGTTCTACCGAGGGCAGTAGGTGTTAGGTCTTCACCTAGCAGCGGCTTAGAAGGGTGGAGTGGGGAAGGAAAGGAGTGGATTATTAGAATACCGAAGTTCTTTCTCACCACATGTCAAGAAGTCAGCAAACATTTGAAAATGCATGGCTCACTTTTCTCCAACCTCCGTGAAAGAAGTGGGAAATACCAAAGTGATGGCCTTTAAAATCCGCTGCTACCTTTCGATGCAAGCCATATGAGTTGGAGCTATTTGCTTAGCATCCACGACTTTCCCGTCCCAGCTGGCGTGGATAGAGGCAAACGAAGTGTTGTATCACTTACGTTCGTTGTTAACTGACCGTTTTTTGACACATGGCTGCCAACTTCCCTCAATCAAACGTGATAGGTAAGTCGTCTGTACGCAAAACATCATCATCCGGTAGTTCAACACCTGAAGCGCAGGGCTTAAATCACACTCTTGTCCGGTGTATTTTGTTGCTGATGTGGAACTACCGTCCGCAGCTTCGGAACAGATCCAACGAGCGTGAATTGTAGAGGCTCAAAGGTCTTGTGATTTTAAGCCCAAATGTGAGGAAATACGAGTCCGTTAGGGTCGACACTTGTCCATCCCAAGTGTGGTCAGTATTTTCAATCAACAGAAAGTTTGATAAAAAGGCCCAAAAATTTCACAACATTAGCTCGAAATAATGCCTTGCCCACCTCAAACAGTATTCGCAGACATTCTCAGCTAGACTTTCATGGGTGCCCAAATGAGGGGATTTTACTCAATGCAAAGGATAGAAAAAAAAGAAGGATAACACAAAACCCTTCCCTAATGCGTTCTTCCGCCTGTTCCTGTTCCTCTTCTCCCTGCTCCCACAAATCTGACATTTATGCATACAAAGCATATGCATGCCAAAGCTCTAGTATAAAAAGGCGCTGGATACACAGCACAGCAACATCCACAGCTAACGGAGTGGTAGTAGTAACAGCGGTGAGAGCGAATGCTAATTGCCACAGCTTCATCACACGGTTAGGTGATTTGTCTAAGAGTGATGATGGAGGGGAGAGGAAACGATCTCCCTCCACAGCGGTTGTTGTTGAGTCACCGTGGTCATGGAGGGAATGGATGCTTTTCTTTTCTGCTGGCTCATTAAGAGAGGGAAAATAAAGCTTACTCTGCAGACTGGGGATAAATAAATGCTTGCTTTAAATGCAAAAGTCCAAATGGCCCATTTATGGTTGGCATGTGTGCTTTTCCCCGCTTTCATATAGTGAGGGTATTCAAAGAAGGACGCTTTGGTTATTCCACTTTGCCCGGTCAGTACACAACTTAGATTGAAGTTAATTTTATGTCTTGGGATCGACTTAAATAAGTCAGTTTTTCCCAGAAAGCTCATTTGCTCCATCAGACAGACAATGGAGGTGCAGTTATTCCACTAAAAATTGTCAATGATGGGGGAATTTTTTTCGAACGTCCTCCTCGGTGCTGGGGAGATCTTTAAACCCACTGAGAGGCAATGCAGCCTGTTCAATTAGGGCGAATAAGGGTGTTCTATTGATAGGTATGTGATTAACAGATTCAATAACGATTTAAAATGTTTTGATGTTTCTTCTCTCAAGCGACAGTCAGAAAGTGTCAAAGGGCGAAGGGCACACATTGAAAGCTTAGTCCGACTTAGAGATGGAATGACAACGTTCTGTGGAATTATAAAATTCGAAAACACCAAAAGAAGGTACACCCTAGGGTGGCTACTTCAATTGACAGGTTTAATCTGTAATACACATTCATTCCTCACCTAACAGGCAGATCTTGCACGTCTCCCTCCACAAATTTTCTTCCTGTCCCTCTGTGGGAATTCATAGGGCTGTCTTGAGAACACGCCCGACGACATCAGTGGCGACTCGGGCGTCGCAATGTGGAAAGCTTCAGGTTGCCCCACAACCATCGGGCATGAATTTATCAGGTTGTCTTAGAGAGTATGTTTGAATTCCTCACCCCTTGATGAAACCAGCTGTTGAAGAGAGGTAAACTCACCCCTCTAGATGGCCCTACTTGCAACCAGTGGTCATAAGTTTGGACTTTGACTACCATATGTCAAATTCCAAATGTTTTTACTCAGCGATAATTTATTCGTGTGTCTCTCTCTCAAATGACGTGGGTTGAGAACTGATGCTGAATCCAAAATCCTAAAAAATTTAAATTTTTTAAGCATATTTTCCTCTCTTGACCGCTAATATATGGTGGAGGGTGGTGGATTTTAACTTACAAATCAATACACAAATGAACAAAATGACCAACCTTCTAAAATTGCTTCAAAGTGTCACGATGCGCACAAAATCACCTGTGAAATTGTTAAAAATGGGATAAGTAGGAGGGAGAATTCACCTCCTCCTTTTCGTGAAGTGATAAAAGTTGCGTTGGCTAAGTAATTACCATGCAATTTGAGAACACAGGAAGTAGTTAAACCAAAATGGAATGGCTTCAAGGTCTTCGGTGTGCTTGGGAAATTTGCCATCCGCAATACTTATCTGTGAGGGCCCAATTTCACTGCCTAACTCGGGCACCGGGGACTTATGAAGTGGGTTCTTTACCGGTTGGTGACAGCCATGGCTGCATCAAATTCCATAACACCAAAACAGATTAGTCACATTTAGAGTGGTATGAAGTGGAGTAGATGTGAACTAGTCATGATCTACGTGGCTAATTACATTTTTGGCGCAGAGATGAACAGCTGAATGCTAGAAGGTTAATGACAACTGGGTGTCATCAACGCAAGGATAAAAGGGTGTCTGGCTCTGACACTTACTTGGGCTTTGGGGTCCGCCTAGTGGGAATCGATTCAGGCAACAAAAAACTAACCCATGCAAATCACCATTTAGTCGCACCCGAGCTTAATGCAAGATACACAGTTAGAGTGGGCCCCAAACACTTCAAAACGAAGCAATTTCAAACCTCATGGAAGTCAACGAACGCTTTTAATACCCAAGAGACTAGTGGTGAGGCTATTTTTAGCCCAAAGTATCCAGTTCCTACCTATTTTCTTTTTTACTGTCAAAGAAATTCAACCACCTCGTTGGTCACTTTGCTACACAACAAACTAACGTTCTCATAGATAGAACAGAAAATCAACTTTTATTTACAAGTTATCCACATAAATTAGTTTTAATAGAGCCATCTTCACCAGGTTTACTTATTGCCAAGACTCTAGAACCACCTTTTTTTCACCGATAAACAAAGACTGACCTTTCCTATTCTATCACTGCTTTTTTGGAAGGGGGGAAGGTGTTTCAGGGATGGGTATTGTTAGTCTTGATTGGAAAAGACTATTTGCCATTAGAAGGTGACGAAATTTTATTCTTCTGCGATCACATCAAGTCCAACCAGTCAACCATTTTTAAACACCAAATAAACACTATGAGATGGTCCGGTTAAGGTGACTTTGATGCAGCTATCGCCACACAGTCATGTGCTCACTCGCCTTTGGTCGCTACTTTATCTCATTTTAATATAAATTAACCACTCCACTCGTAATCGCAAAGACGGGGCACCGAGGTAGCAAAGTCGGTGGAGGCTACAAGTGGAGGAGGGAAATTAGCATGTCTTAACTGGAATTCTCACAGTCGAGAGCTAGGGCTAGTTTGACATACAGAGGCAGTTGGTAGGACATATCCCTACGTTAACTAGGGTTGCAAGATTTTTTTCCCCAACCAAGGGGAACCAAGCCAATCGCTATCGCCATGGTAGCCACCACAATTCAAGTGCCAGCACTTTTTTCATCTCATTTAACTAGGTTGAAGATTGTGGTGAATGTGTTGAGTCAGTGGTTAAGCACTCTATACTGGATGGAGGTAATGATCTTTCGATCCTAGGCTGTTTACACGTTGCAGCAACCAAAAAAGCTGCATTGCAACGGTGACATGAGTGTTGACATTTCGGCGCTTTGCACTTGACAACATTTACTCCGACAAATAAAATTAGAAGGAAAAAAGTCATAAGTTCAATTTAAAATAGGTTATGGGAAAGGTGATGCAAACCTACGGAAGGTTAAACATTCGAGAGCTCCATAGTGAAATTAACGAAGGAGGGATTTGGCCTGGTGCGTTAAAAGTTTACCATATGCCACTTTGACAGAAATATTTAGGGGTTAAAAAATGAATTTTACTAAGTAGGTGGATACGTTTTTAACCAAGCGAACAGAAATTACCATTCTCCCTTAAAACTTACCTCAACGTGGGTTGAAGGTTGGCCAATCGCACAGAGGCCTCGAGGCACGTTCGGGCGAGGACGGTCTCCGGTATCTTCTTGATTCTCTGATGCCAACAAAGTTAGAAAAGCGATGTATTAACGAAATTCTTCGCTATTTTGTAAATGTTAATAGTCGTCCAAAATGTTTCCTATTTTTTGCTCGAGTTGTTGTGATCCCTCCAATTATTTAGTTTGAACATTTCTCTCACCTTTGGAGATTAGAGAAGCCGCCTTTTTGAAGACAGAAACACCACGGAAAAATTCGAGTCGTTACACAAAAAATCGGTTGGCAACGTTTTTATTTTCAAGATAAATGTACTCCTCACTATTTGCTTACCACCGTATGTCCACTTGGTGAGTAAAAAGAGACCGTCAGGAACAAACAATATTAATTTTTGTGTCTTAGTTAATCAGATCAGTAAATGGACCAAAACAGACATCACCTTGTTCCCAAATAAACCTCCAACTATATCACATCGTTCTCTCGAGGCAAGTGTCAAAGAACCAAGCGTGTTGCCATCATACCCCCTGTGATCCCACAAAGTCCATTCGAAACGCCGAACAATTTTCCCCCCACAATGGAATGGATAAAATAAAGGCGCGCAGGTATGTGTGTAGGTAGGAGGGCGAATAGGTGGGTGGATAGGTGAGTGGGTGACTAGGCCCCTGAGTGGGTGGATATGGAAGCAAATAGAATAAACCACACTTTTTTCTACTTTTAAGCAGCTCCAAAGCGAAAGTGGATTGACCTCGGACCCACTCCCAATTGGCTGAGATGTTGCTAGCTAGACTTGGCCATCTATTTGGTTCTGAAGTACTGGACTAGAGGATGCGTGGAGTCTGGCAATTCGGAGATATTCTAATCAAGTAAATCAGACAAGCACAATCAATGGCCATGCATTTACTTAAAGAGGAAGAAAAAAATTGTTGACTTATCTCAAGATATGCACGGCTTACAGGACACTGAAATGCCACTAGTAGTCATAGCAACTGCCTTTGCCGTCAAAATAAGTCCACTTCTAAGGCAATAAAGTGGTAGTGAATGCAGACTCCAAGACGATTGGTTGAGTCGAGGTTGATACTCATCGTCCAACTTTAATACTTTCCAGTAGAGTGCAAAATATACACAAAACTCAGAAGGGAAGACAATTTTGCTGCCCAGTGTACTCGACTAAAAAGCATTTAAAAGTCAAATTTCTAATATTTTGCAGAGTCGATATTGATCCTAAACAAAAACCTGGCAAGTAAAGTGATGTGGAGCAAGGAAAATCAACATATCCATGGGGAATGACTTGATAATTTGACGTCTTGCCAAGTAGTCAATTCTTGCAACAAAACTTGAGGCGTGTCTTAGGATAAACTTATCAAGCAAGAGATGGTTCATACCTTAAAAAGAGTTTTCTTCATTCTTTTAACATAAAAAATCATTGTCTGACATTTTCTTGCTTGTCCAATCCCATAAGTCGCCGTTTTTTCAAACAATCGCCTTTTGCTAATCACTTATACCCCTGTACAGTGCACAAAGGTCCTCGTTGCCTCTTTTTTTGGCAAGAGTGACCTACTTTCCAGTATCCAGAATAAACACCGTTTGCGCCATTCCAGGGTAAACTGTTTTACAGCCCATAAAATTTGCCAAATTGCCCATTCACTGAGATTGCTTAGAGCCCCAGCCGGAATGGCGCTAATTAAGGATTAACTCACCATTATTGGGTTATCAGTAGAGGAAGTAACAACAAAAGTTGTCTTTCCCCTCAGTTAGTCAAAGAAGGGAAGTTTATCTCAAGAAAAAGTCAAATTGGAAAGAAACCTAGTGATTCAGACTTGTCATTCGGGCACGTGTACCTGTCAGGAGGGTACTGACTCATTCACCCATCCAATCACAACTCCGATCACACTTGCGATTGCCTGCGGTGACCCAAAATGGCCGGAAATAACATTATACTTAGGAAGGACTAAACCCACCCTCGCCTACAAGTCAATTTGTCAAAAACCTCCTCAACCAATAGGATGGTTTGACTGGAGTTGGTGACTGATCCGCTCTTTTTGACATTTTAATTGGACCCGAGCTTCACCCATTTCAAAGGCGGTTGATGAGTTAGGAAATTAAATGCCTCCACCTTTGCGCAAATTGCCTCAAAAAGGCCAGGTTCGTGTTTCCACTCTAAAGGGGCGTTAATTAATCAGTCAAGGGGATAACACAACTTGTTGGCTGAAGTGGTTCATGTGGGTGATGAGCAGAGCCAAAAGCAGGTGACGCTTTAGACTGTTTCAAGCAGATAAAAGTCATTTTAACTGAGCACTTTTTAGTATTTTGGAAACCAAAGCCCACTCTTAAATGACAACAAAACACGAGGCATGTGTGACAATATGTTAGCACTGCCAAAGTAAACAGCGATAATCACGCCTTCAAAATATGTATAACCTGAAACAGCTCCAAGGCCCAATTTGTTGATTTTAGCCTCTACAGCGATTGTCAACTAACAGTCAAGAAAAAAAACATTGCAAAATGCTTTTTTTTCGCATTTTGGAAGTTATTCTGGGACGCAAAATAAGACTAGATGGAGAAAAAACGTACAGAAAGAAGGGGAGGTAGCAAAAAAGGGCAGTGTGAAGCGCTGTCAGCCAAAAGCAGTTTCATTTAATCGGTCGGAGGAGATGACGCAAACAACAGGACGAGGAATAGTTCAGCAAAACAAAATAAACCTCCTTGTAAGGAATGCTGGTGGAGGACTTGGACGAACAATCCCGACTGTCCTTCTTTTCAAAAAAGGAGGCATTTTGCCAGCAGGAAATGAGGATCAAAAGAAACTCGGTTTGTTATGCGAGTTGATTGGCCAAGGTTTATCAAGGTTTCAAAAGGTTACTTCACCGCCCTTCTTACTCATGCATAGAGCTAGATGTATTCAAGGAAATCCATCCAGGAATATAATTGGCTGGGCATTTATTCTAGCCTATCCGAGTTTCGCCAAACAGTATATAGTCACATTCAGCACCAATGTTTACCACTTCATCACACTGCTGTTTCTGCCATGAATGAAGCCATTACCTGCTATGGTCGTGTGACCGTCCAGCCGTGGAGGCAGTAGAAGCCATCCATAAGACTCAAACGTCAATAACCGAAGTCTATGCATTATAATGTTATTTGAGGGATGGATTACTCCCTCTGTTTACTTGTATATTCGCAATCCGTCCTCCCCTTTTAAAAACTCCTTGTGGATGATTCAGCCGTAAGCCCATCAAAACAAGCCTGTTTATTCATTCACGGATAGGGAGACAAGTCAATAGCCATCGTGGTAATATACACCAAGTTAGGAGAGAAAAGATTTCACTGATTAATTGTTTTTGCAGGTTAGGGGCAGCAAAGCATCAAAGAAGTGCCGACACTCCCCCAGCCCCACCTACCACTCACTATGTAATGCCTCCCCCCTGAGCTGTGGGATTTAATGCTAGCTGAGTCAGCCCCATTCAACTTTCCCATTTTACAGTGGCAACAAAGCATGAAGATTCTTTTAATTATTTCTAAGCAAACAACCGAATAATTTGCTTATTAAAGGTTTGAATGAAAAGAACGCCAAAGATATCTACTCACCGAAATGTATGTAACCCCATGTTTTTAGCCCAGTCAACGACTTGTATAGCGGGCGACTACTTGTTATAGGACCGCTTCAAAGGCGTAGGCTTTTTCCCTTCAAAGAAGTAAGTAAATCCGTGAAAGGGGAGCTGCCTTAGTATTGCTTAATTCTCGCTTACAAAACTGGCCGTGGTTAAAGAGGAGAACTAAGACCAGCTGACTAGGACGGGTAGAAGGAAGGAGGTGGGCGTACGCAAAACAACTGGTGTTTTGTGATACAATACCGCAGAACAGAGCCGCGGATGATTCAACGATTTTGCAGCCTTAGAGATACGTATCTGGGACTCCTATATTTTGATCTCTAGTAGAGGTAGTTCATTTATTCAAGACAACGAGAATGGAGTAGCTGGGAGATGGGAGTTGATGAAAAAAGCCTTGGGTTCTGGTCAGCACCAGTACTTCTAAGTCGAGCTTCAAGGATTAGGTGCATTCCCACTTGCATGGCCCCAATACATCAAATTATAATACACCACTAGGGTAATAGGTCGGAGGGGATTTGGAGCAGGAGGTAGGTTTACTTAGAGAAACCATCTTTGAAGCAAAGAGGCAAAATCTCAGACTTCTGTATCAAAGGGATGCAGAATGACACAAGAGATAACCATTCGCCAGTATTTTTGGTCCTCTGTAGGCCTATCAGCCTGGTTTGGGGAACCACATCAACACGGATCCGGAAGGGGAGACAGGGAAGGGGCGTGAACGCCCAAACTACTATGATGTCACGTTTTAGTAGATGAGGAATTTATTTTCTAATTGCATCTTCAATGGTATGGCACCAGATCTGCTTGTCTGCCCCGGAACAGTGCTGAAGCAGTGGCTCTGCAATTCAACGCCCTTTAATGACTCTGTAAGGCTTTGTACTTTTCAATTAATTTTGAGGCATTTAGATCCTCAGAGGAAAAGGATTGGCGCATTTTCAGTAGTCTCAAGTCGTCTTTGCATCTAGCAATCAGGTGTCTCAAAGCAATTGCTTGTGATAAATAATGTGGAAGGAGTTGGGAAATTCTAGGCTTAAGTAGTCAGCAAAAGGAACCAATCTTCTTACGACCAATTGCTTTACTTCCTTGTCGGTGGAGGCCCCGTCAGATTGGTTGCAGTCCTAAAAGCCTAAAATTCTCCCCACAAATTCAGATCTTCATTTTCATGTGTGACATTCTCCTGTAGTAAACTGATGTTCCCTTTTTTCTTGTTTCGCGTCAAAATTCCCATGGTTGAATGCGTAAATAAACCAAAAAGGAAGCCCCAAACATTGTTACTTTGGAATGAAAAAAAGGAGTTGGTTTGTGCATTTCTACATACACAATCGGTGTGAACGCACCGGATGTGAACCTAAATTTATACCACATAGAAGTATCAACACTTGCTATCCACTACCATGTATACGTGATGCACTATTTTGTTTACCTAAGCCCGACGTCACAAGTATGTGGCGCGGGTTCCTGGTCGGTTTATCACAACCAGACCGCACCAAATTGTGCAGTGAACAGCTGGGGTGGGTTTGAAAGAATAGTAAAGGTAAAAAACATCCACAATCTCAGAGTGACTGCATTTCCTCTGGATTTTTGAGTAGTCCAGCTAATCAATCTTCCTCGAAGATCCTGATAGAGGATACGCCAACTGTCTCGGGTTGGTTAATGATTGAAAAGTCTCTGAGAGATGAAAGACCTGTCCTCATATCAAAGCGGGCGGATGAGGATGCTCGGATATTGAGTGTGAAGGAGCTACACATCGTTCTACCACACTTACTCCACCGACTGCCATTTTGATGGTAGCCATTATGCTGTCAACCACGCAGGCGTCATGTGTGTACTGACATTATGTATTTCACACCCGATAGCCAAGCCAAACGTCCATTGTTCACGGTCTAGGTGATTAAATACATCACGTTAGTGGCTCTGGTATTTGCATAACTGCTACTACAGCAGAGTAGAAAGAGCAGCAACATCAACAACTGTTGCATTTCACAGGAAAGGTCAAACCACAGGAAGCACACACATACCTACCCACACATATATGCACAAGCATGCCTTGATGCCTTCACACTTCTTAATCAGAAATAAACTAACCATTTTGTGAAACTTTTGATCAAAATCCAGCGAACCATGCCCGGTTAGTCCATTATATGTACGTGGTTTCGCTGGATCATACTCTATTTATGGGAAGAGGTCTACTATTTAATCAATTATAGAGCACTCAACATGGGAAAAAGCTTCAAGAAGGTCAGTTACACTGATCTGACTCAATGCTCTCTTTAAATATCAATGTCACACTCCCTTTAGCACTTACAATGCCGGTTGCCTCCATTTTAATTAACCACTTCCGTGAAGGTCGTTTCAAGGTCATTGCATTGGCATGAAAAAGCAATTGACGATTAATCCGAGTGGTTTGTATGTAAAATGTGCGAAGTAGGCGTCAGAACTCTTTGTTAGCAATAACAATGCGAGACTTCTGATAGTCAAGGGGCGTTTGTCTTACCTGTCAATTCAAACACCCCTCAACACCCTTTGAGATGCAAAAAGCATGATGAAAACTTTCTAGCCCCCCTCTGATCAGGGCACCAAAGCGAAGGACTTGATTGTTTTTAAAAAATTGAGGTCAAGTAACCAAGTCGGTTGCCCCAGCACCTTACAAGAACTTGATTTCGGACGAAAGGAAGAATAGGTTAAAACATCCTAGACAAGATTTTACTTGCAAAAAATCATGATTCAGTATGGCAACAAAACGTGCCAAAAGATTTCACAAAATCCAAAATGGCTTCCCAAATGCACTTGTAGGCTACGTGTGGGCGGGTTTGATGGGGTGATAGCCCCAACCAGTGGAAATGAAGTTTACCACGTGTGTAACTGACGCTAAGCCAACCATACAGGCACCTACAACTATGCCTGTCATGTGCAAAATGGTAGTAACACAATCATGTGACTTTGTCATTACTGTAAATAACAGCCAATCACATTTTTCATCCCCCTTCTCGTCCTCGCTGCCATGATGGCACGCTCGTACACCCCATCACGTGATAGCCATCATGGCCACATATGAAATGGCTGGCTCGAGAGGAAATAATTACAAAAAGGATAATCTTGATTGTCTTAGTATACAAGTAAAAAGGAGGGGAAATATTTATTGTAAGGGCGTACTCTAACCATCTGGAATGGCAGTTTTGACATTTGAAAGCGGAGTAAAAAGGCTTAAAGGAGGACTTGGATAAGAAAGAAACGTCGATTTTGTAAGGTCTTGCAAGAATAGCCAAAAACTTAAAGGCCAGTCTCTGCTTGGTATGGTAAATGCAAAAATGTGAGCAACAGGGAGCTGAGGAACTGATCCTTAAATGTTTTGTGATAGAATTGGAGCATTCCCAATCATCCCTGAAGTTATAAAGAAAGGGATTTAAACCTAGTGTTCAAAAGACATGGACAAGCTACAGAACTGGGGATATTGCGATTAGACCTCCACGGCGGTGGCATGAAACCGTCTCTTCAGCAGACCGGACCGATAATAAAGCGACCTCCCGACTTGCACGCCTTCAAGGGCAACCGGAAGTTGTTGAGACTCTACATAAGTGGAAGTAGGGAGGAATATGACCTCCTTGCGGAAAATACAACCGCTTCCGTGGGCTTAGGATTAAATGGTTATTATACGAAGGACATTGTGTTGTGGTTTTATCTAATCGAACTCGACAGATGTGTACTTGCTGTAATCAGTCGGTTAGGTCGCCTTAATCTACTTCAGTAGTGATGTCACTTGACATTGCTAAGGCCAGCGTTAGGTCCAAAGTGAAATTCTTTAAATAAAAATTACAAGGCACAAGGAAACAGTGTAACAGTTAGGGGCCAAGAATACCAGGTTAGGGTAGTGGGAAAACGATTGCCCTCCTCGGTTGATTGTTCATTTTAAATGGTTGAATTCAACTGTTATGATGGCCTTCAGAGGTGGATCCTCCTCAACCATTGCCGCATTCTCCTGAGATTTCATTTTAGATGGCACATGGCTCATTTTTTACCAAGGTTAACACTTTCCCCCAGCGTCACGTATACGTGACGTTCCAATTTTCCAGCACAACATGCAAGTTTGTGAAATTTCCTTGATCTGGCCAGTTTAATTACATCGGTCTAGAGTGGCAATTGAAGCGATGCGTTAGACAGGATAGATATTGCTGTAATATTCCAACATGAGCACCCAAACTGAGGTAGTCGATTTAGCTCTTTGGTTTATTGGCGAGTATATCCAGGTGGTCCACTAGAACAGAATGTCGTCTAGTGCTAACTAAGCTCATTTCCGATGACATTTTAAGTAGCTGCATGGATTCTACAGCAGAACTCATGCAGGAATGCGTGCCTCCATTCAGCAGGCGACGATTACATTCGGAGGGAGGTATCAAAAGTGCTATTGGTTCGCAAACTCGACTTCTAAAGAAAGACATTTTTGAAATTATAATATGCCCAAATAGGCACCCGATGAACGCGGAGTGGAAGCCAAGGTCTGCTCCGTACATGTGCAGTCCATTAACACGACCTGGATGCAAAGTAAAATTGAGTCACCAGACGTGAGAATTGGTAATTATGGAATCACAACCTACCTTCACAGGTTAGAGAGAGTTTAGGTGTCACGATTAGCCAGTCTCAGGCTATTTGTATTCCATTGTCTCCGAAATGCGGGTTGTATCGAAGCCATCATTATGGGGCTTGTTTTCTCACCCCTTTTACGATTGCACACTTCAAAACGGAAATGCAGGTGACCTTTCATCTCCATGACCTAGGCCTCTTATTGTGTGACGTGATCAGTACTGGTGATGCTAAAAGCGAAGCCACCTGCTTTGTGTTGCGGGAAAGGACAGCAAAAGTACAAAGTGCCGGCAAACTATCACTTGACTGACCACGTACTTCTGGGACTCCAAGACCCATTCAACAAATCACGAAGTGCCCATTGGCTGCAAGAGATCGTGTTCCGTTAATAAAATGGCGACGAGTTCTCTACCACTTAATCCAGTTATTTGCGGTTAACGCCTTACATTTGCCTTTCATAAAAGCCTCTTGACAATGATTTCAATTCTTCGTCCTCGAAGGAAAAAGGAAATACTTGCCCTTTGGCGGGTGCTCCCTTCAAATGCCGTTATGCAGTGGAACCTAGTCAAGCAAGAGTATTTTTAGGGTCATATTCACATCAACTAACTGCTTAAAATAACGCCAAGGATAGTAAATGACAGAAGCGCTCAGCCGGGAGGCCATTGAAAGACAGCCACTCCTTTAGACCCATTACTATAGGCCTGGTAAATTGGCCACCTCGGCTACGAACATTCCAGATTTTACTAATCGGGGAAACTTGAAGCGGTAGGTAGGCCTGGTATCCACAATTACGTGCATCAGCATTGCCCACTGGTGAATCACTCAGTAGTTCATTACGGCATTCCACTAGAAATGGGTGAGTGAGCTTGCGCTGGCTTACAAATGCGCTGGTGTAGGAGTACTTGAAAGTGATGCACAGTTTACTGGAACGCTACCATGCCTCTCTCACTGGTGGGCCATTTCTTTTATTTTCTGTCCATGGACCAAAGAGCGATTTTATTGCTCCACACTTTTATTGCTCTTTTCGTGATGACGGGACGTTGATGATGATGATGATGATGATGGCGGGGGTGAACAGCAGGAGTAGAGCCGGTCTTGTACAATTGAAGGGCCAATTATGGAGCACAATTGTCTTCTCTCCACTGTTCTCGCTCTCAGTTAATAATCATCATCAACGCTGATTGAAAACGCGAAATGCAGACCCTAACGATGGCACTTGTTTGGTGATGATAGATGTCAAAAGCATTGGAGGTTTAACAATTCCATAGAACCCTGTAATCAGCCCTGGACAAAGGACCTTTTTCACCTAGTTTTGTGTTTTAAACATAATCAGTCTGATGGCTGTGGTGTGTGATAAATTGATGAAACGCACACAGCATGTTTTAAGTGTGATCTCAGATAAAACAAAGCATTAAGGTGTCACATATGTGCGAAGTTGGTGGAAAAAAGGTCGGACAAATGAGAAGATATGTAGTATTTTAATTGCACCACTTCCAATGCCTGAAAAAAACGTATCTACCGATATTTCATCATTCTAAATATTTTGTTTTTCATCGTTTTCCCCATGGGCCCTCGAAGCCAGTAGGAGGAGGGTACACGCACAAACACGACTTACGCAGCATATAAGCAGCACACGCCCTAGCGGCATTATTATTTCGAACGTTCAATAAATGGGTTATGCTTCTGTCAGTTCTAAATTCTAAATGCTACTTCCTATTGCAAATAACGGTTTAGCTGCGAAATGCCCAACTACGATGTGATTATTGACCGTCTTAGCGATTTCGGTCCCAGTGTAAAGGGAAGTGAGTAATCTTCGATCAAACGGAAAATGCGTTGGGGGAGGGGCTAGCGTTTTGTCTTTCGCCCGCGAGGAATACGCATGTACAAGTACGGGGAGGCACCCAAGCAGGAACGCGTGCTTACAGGCGAAGGCGCGCACCAGTGCGTAGCTGTTGATCAATAGGCCACCAGTGAGCACGATGATTGGATGGCTCAAGGTCGCAAGTGAGTGAGTGGGTGATGAGTTTGGACATGAGGTGGGCTAGAAGGCAGCCAACCAATGGGGGCACAGGCCAAGTAGGATTGCATAATTGAAAGGCGAGATAAACAAATACTTGAGTACCATGGAAAAACTAGGTGACATGAATCACAATAATGTAAAATTTCGATACTTGAACTTGGAAGGTAAAAACAATTTTGTTTGATTGCTTCGATAAGGTCGATTTTGAAAAAAGGAAGGAAAGCGGAGAAATGTACGAATAGGGTTGTTTAGCTGGTTAGGCACTTGTGGAAAGAAAATTCCCCATTTGATACCATAGTGACAGGTTAAGCAAAAAAAATCGTAGGTGAAACAAGGTTAACAAAGGACACCTTGAGTTGGTAAGGCTTACAATTATTCGAGAAACGCTGCTTAGGTCATTAATATCCCTTTGCTCTTCTTTTTAAAGTTAAGTAGAATATGCGAAATTGCATTTATGATGACTCCAAATGTTTTTGATCCAGAACCTAAACAAGTTATTCAAGCCGTAGCAATACCTTTTGGATGGACATCATGACTGAAATAAATGATACTTATTTACTACACTATTTCACTTCCCTTCACCAAAAATATCAGTTGTTCTTTTCCTGTCATTCTTTAAATAAAAATAAGAAACACAAGTCATAATGCTTAATTTTCGCAGCATTTCACACATTAGGAACACGGTGGTTTTTAAATTGAGGGTGAACTCTATTGCCACTGCTTATGCAAAAAAATAGTTGTTTTCAAAAACGCCTAAACCGACACAGTCTACACCAAAAAAGTGTTGTGTGGTTTACCTATCCATGTGAATCCAGTGATTTGTTAAAATGTACTAATGCACCTATGCCATTTTTGATGTTGCCATATACCCCTTGTAAAATATTTGACACACCAGTTTCGTTTATTTTGCTCCATTTCTATTAGTAATATTTTGTGTTACTTACCATCGTATTGCCACTTGTGAAGAATCGCGTTTCAGTAGATTCACCATTCTTCGGGGTTTCCTTCGACGACGAATCACCGTAGGAACGACTGCCACATTCGGCATTCAGTTCGTGTTCTTGAGACCTCGTATCGCTCGAACATGTGCTAAATCCATTAGATTCAGGTTGGTGGCTATTATGAGCGGTGAAGTGTTTTTGATGAGTTCCTTCAAGTTTAGCTGCTCTATTGAGTAGACGGTCTCCAGAACTCCCAAATAATTGAAGTGAGTCAAAAGAAAAAGATGCTAAATCCAGTGGCTGGAAAGTTGACGACGAAGGTGGAGGCAAGTAGGAAGAGAGCTTTTTAAGGATGTCTGCTGTTATCTTTTTCAACTCGTTGGCAGAAGCATCAATCTCTGCAACGTCATCTGTCGGCCATCCTGCCGGCGCACAACCCGTAGATCTTAATTTTTAGAAGTAATGTACTCAACAAACCTTGTAAATCTACTTAGAAAACCCGGCTTCATAATTTAGTCACTGGTTATCGCACACCATATAGAGTGTGCGGGGCTTATTCGACCTTAAAATTTAGATGAGTCAATTAATTATAACAAAGCGGTGGACTCTTGCAGCACTTAAGGTGACTTCTCAAAGTAATTTTTTATTGATTAATTAAAAATTTTTGTTAGAAATCAACAGATTTTTGCTGCTTATATGAAGCTCTTGCTCACAATCATGGTAAATCAAGTTTTGCTAAAAATGTTAACTATGCAATAAACTCAATGCATATTAAAGTTTAATCCTAAGTTTAAGCTTATAAATGCAAGCAAGATAACACCTGTCTTAAGATTTTTACGAGCTAAATGTTCCATTCCTCATTATTACGCCATTCAACACAGATATTAAAATTTAATGGCAATGGTTCAGATATATTTATTTGTAGTTACTTCTTGACTACTGCTAGCAAATTCATTCCTTTTCCCTTAAGCTATACTTATTTTGACCTTCAGGTACTCCCTAAAGTCAAAGTCCTAACATAGTTTCAGTAACAAGCGGAATGACTCAGGGACTCTAGGCATTGCCTTATAAACCGCCAGGATTGAAGGTTAAGGGTCGGCGTGGCTAAACATTTATGCAACACTATATTTCTTCCTTGGAACTTCAATGCGTCAAATTTGTAATGGAGTAAAATGTTGCTTACTAATGCAGTAAACTTAAACATGTCTAACAGTATGAACTGAAGTCCATGCCGCAGCAAGATGCCAGTTTCTGCATTTTCCAACATACTTGAATGAAATATCAAGTCGATAATTAATTGCTTTTTCTATTTAAACATCGTCACCAGTGCTTTCCGAAATCGATCTTGACAAGGTGGTCGGCAATTTAAAAATTATCCATATCCATTCACTGTATTTTCCTGTATGCGTGACGACATTTGGTCCCAAAGTCATTCACATATCCAAGGACTTCCAGTGTATCCAGAGCTTCGCCCTACTTGCAAATTGTATTAGGTAAGAGCATATGCCCTGGCTTCAAATTTCTCAAGATTAGACGGATTTGGCCCGTGTGCCACTCTCTAGTCTTAAGGAAATTAGCCTACAAGCAAGGCCCTTCAGTCTAAAAAAATTAAATCATTTCACTTGGTTAATAAGTTGCGTCAACTTCTCCTTCCTGATTCAAATTTGGTGCCACTTTAATAGATAATAACCTGCTTACATTACACGGAGCTTTGAGTCGGTAAGACAGGATGCCATTTTTACCCTTTCTGTCAGAAGCTTAACAGATTCAGCCGTCTACATGTGACCTCCTGTCACCTTAAGGTGCAGTATTTAGTCACAAAGTTTGAATCGGGTTCACCTGCCCCTTCTACCAACGTAGTGTTCCGAGTTTCAGTGAAGTTTTGATAACCCGAAGTGGCATGGAATAGTATGCATTAACAATGTGAAGAAGAGTTGGAAGGCTACTAGCACGACTCAAAGGCTGTGCTCCCCGGTGGGAGTACAACGTGCAGAGGCTAAAGCGCTTGTGTAATTCAGCACACTGTTAAAATACCAAATCACTACACACATTTAATTACATATCAAATTACCACACTTCAAATTAAATGTTTTAGACAATGATGGTGAATAATTATGCCATTGACGATACCAGGTTTGAAGTCTTGTTAACTAACTTACACTTCACCATTTCTTGCTCATTTATTTATGCCTTTGCTCTCTCTTCACATTAATAATGTCATATACAGTAAGAGGATGGCCATTTCTTACTACCTTGTAACGGGTTCAGCTTTTCACTCTTCCGCCTATGCCTTCACGCCCTTAAAACGAGGCGGATATCTTTCACCGTATACGCGTCATAAATGTGTACAAGGAATCGGAATTATAGGAAGACGGAGCCCGGCTCCTCCTCCGAGATCAATGTCGGCCGCTCAATGAGCAGGTTCGCCTATACTGACAGCATGTTTTGTCTTCCATCCTTCTCAGTTTTCTGACACTATGGGTTTATCAATGTTCAATGTAAAGTAAAGCTCAATTCCTACGTCACTAATAGAAATACCAACCCCAAGTTTACGTGAAGTAAGTACTAAAAGGGCGCCTCATTTGTTAAGCAAATTTTTCTCCCTAGGAATTTTGCTTTACTTATGCTATTTAGTCTCTAAGACGTTAGGAATCTTGTCCATTTTGATGACTGATTTACCACATTTAGTAATTTGACGATGGGCCTTTCGTTAATCGTCAGTTTTTTTAGAGAATCAGTAATCCAACATGTAATTGGTTCCATTTCCCTGAGATTCTTGAAACCACAGGGTAAGAAAACAACCTAAGGGTCCTGATTAATTGTCTCGATGCAACACAAAAATGATTGGCCACATGTTCATTCAAACTACTGACAATATGATATAAGTAGCATTTTTACTAAGAATGAAAAAATCCAAGTTTCTCCCTCCGCTTGCTGCGAAAGTTTAGGAGGTGACGTTAGTTTAACTTTTAATGGTACCACTGTAAGGTTGTCATATTTTAACTGAGTAGGCACAGAAAAAGAATGGAAAAAAGGCATTTCCATTCCATCGCTCTCTATTATCACACCGGTATTTGTTGAACAAGAGGGATGATTGTTTCCCCTACAATCGTTTTCACTTCAAGATAATTCATTGAGGATTGCTTACTCTCCTTGAAGTCAGAAGAAAATTGCGCTGTTCGGATTATGAAAGTGTCGAATGGCACACGAGACTGTTTGAAATATCCCCTGAAAGAGGGTTCCACTAGTAAAAAGGACGTTTCCTTCACTTCCCCGTATGTAACAATGGCGCAGGTAACATATTTTGTGTTTTCCTTTGATAATAAGACATGAAGCATGAAATTAAACTTTGTGTCAAACCTTGTCACCGACGGCAATGTGGTGAATGTTCTAGAAGTATGCATCCAATTCCACAAAGACAGTTCCAGAGTTCTCCGTTATCTGCCGTAATCTCAGCATATAATATGCAAGGGGCAATTCGAAAGAATAAGATCAACAAATAAATGCCCATGTATGCCTTTTGTTTAGTAGGCGAGCCCTCAAACTTCTTATGCTAGTGACTAGGTCGGATTGCGTACTTCTATAGTGGTTCTTAGGCAAAACACGCGACCCATTGAAACGCGAATCCACACAACCTTGATATGTCCACCAATAAACAAACTGGGCGGCAAAAGAGGGTCATAATCTCACCACGAACCAGGTGTCACGCATTTTTACAATGAGAAGCACAGGGTCTGTCAGTTTGAAGTGGTAGGGTTGTCGATCCCTCTCAAATCCAACCCTCCACGAGATCGTATACTAAACTAAGAATGACAAAAGCATCAGCACATACGGTTTCTACGTTAGATAGGTAAAAGTGGAAGGGATCACTTATTAAGAAGCAAGGGAATATCGGGGTAATATTATAAGCCAAAGTACTTCGCGATCACCGATACACAAAAGCAGCTGTGGCAAGTAAATAAAGCTGTCCAGTATTTGTGTATGTCACCTTCAATGTTTGAATAAATAAAGGTGTTTCTGTATATATTCATGCTGCCATCAGAGGATAGTAACGTCATACGATGTGTGTGTGGGGGTTGGACGATCACTCATACCTAACTCATGCTTTGCAGAAGGCATCACGAAACCCGTGCGTTCAGAACATAGTACTGCCGTAGAAATCTGCTCGCGTTTCTGTTGAAAGTTTATTTTCCGAACCATGGGTCTAGCAGTTACGGTTTCAGTCACCGCCTTGGGGTTCTATTTGTATAAGTTCAGTTAACACCCCATCAGAGCTTTCTCTGGGCGCCTGCACCTCAACTCCGCATTTGGAGACACTGAAGGAGGCCATCTAGCGTGGATAGCTGAATTACCTCTACCCATCACTCCTCTCTGGTGCTACACAAAAGGCAGCTAGCGTCTTAAGAGAGGTCAAATAGGAAAAGCTAGCCTTCAATTGATTCTTTGAAATCAGTGTATCTGTTCCATTCTACTGCGATTTATTCCACATTTATGTGGGGAATGTCATGTCATTTGTGCTTCCAGTCTGTCCAGCACCTAAGCAACAACAATGAGAGTGACAACGCATTTGGGTTTACACAAAGACTTTTTCCCTACTCATGAAAAGTATGAAAATAGCATGTACTTCTATGCTGTTCGACATATTCTGGACCTTTTTTAGAGGTGGTAGCATAAGGATCATTCAAGCCTGAATGGTATTTCCGAGTCGCAAAAATTACACTTTGATGGCAAGCAGCTTTGACATTTCGACTGAGTCAACTCAGGACACACGGTTTGAACTGAATTCTCCTAATGCCAATTATTGCTGGGTGATTGTGTTGCGCTCCCGGTTCCGACAGAGAGACTATTCCTCTGATTTCGTCGTGTGATAGACGTCCCAGGTTAGGCTTTCCCGGCCACGTCGGAATGCTAACATGGCTGCAAGGTTAATCACTGACGTCCTTGAAATGTGCATCATTCAGATGTCATACTGTGGTCGTGTGCACTGTCATACCGCCCTAGAAGTCTTCCTTGAATATGTGTAAGTTTTACGCCTTCTGTGACTGGGACATTCATCTCCATAAGGCATTCCGTGCACGCACTACCATTAGTGTCCAGCGCCTTGATTAAGTGGCTGTACTGGCTCACAAAAAACTCCAGACAATAATTCTCAATGGGATACACCTACAGCAAACTACTTGAATTCAGTACCACCATGACACCATCCCGTATACAGCGTCTTCCAACTTTCATCACCATATTTCTTTAAAGCTGATTAGTCTAGTTGAGGTCATAATCCGGGCAGCCCCAGCAAAAGCCACCACAATTGAAGCATCTCCTCCTCTCGGTATGATGAAAATTTGCCAGCCATTCTTATCTTCTCCCCTGTCTGTGAGCCGCTAATACAACCATGAGGTTGTCATCTTTTAATGCACAATGTCCACTTGCCTTGCTGCTACGTAGTGATGATATGCTGGATTTTCCCGCAAAGCCATGGTCTAATTGAAATCCATCCCATATCGCTCCATCGACAGACCTCATTATGCAGACATGGCTGACTAATCTGGAAGTTAGCTACGCCTGGGTCGTGGTCGTTAGCTTCACTTCCAACCACACGTGAGTCATCCATGTCCTGGGACGGCCTCAACTGGCCGTCCGGCTGCAGTCGGGACCGAGGGCACGTCCAAGCTGCATGTTTGGCTGTGTTGTGGGTGTGATGCAGCATGATGAACACCACAAGCAGCTTATTTCACTGTCCTGCTTACTAATGAGGCACTGATCAAGTGAGCTGATCATGCGTCACTCAGTCGAAAATAACTCGGCAGTGATGATGGATACGATTCATGACACGAGTTTTAAGGTGGGCTGATAAATAACTAAAACAGGAACCTTCACAGTCGTGATTTAAGGACCGGCTTGCTGAAAGTAAAGAAGAGCAGCCTTCTTTGTTTTTCTTATTTGGAAATTGTTTTGAAACAAAGGTCGAGTCATCATTTTTCCCCAAGTAGGTCGCTAAAAGCGGGTCATCCATCAGAGCTAGTTTATCGAGACATTTCTACTACTGACGTCGGGGACAATAAATCTGTAATTGCCCTTCCTACCACCTGAGAGATTTAAACTTGACAATCTGCATTTGGTGGATGCCAAAATTCCGCATTTTCAATTCAGCTAGATCCTGATTGGTTTTGATCATATAGACAGTAGAAACTTTTGTTGACCAACGCGAGCCCTTCAATGCTCGCGGTTTGTACCGCCGCCTGGTAACATGGCCCTTTGGGCGAGCCTATAGCCGCTTAGCCTTCCCGCACCTTCCGAACTGGTACAAATGGGTTCTACGTTGAGCAACCATGTCCTCAGCCGATTACCACATTCAAATGTTACAGAAGGAAGAAACATGTTTTGGATAAAAGAATTTTTGGAATGCACACCAGAGGTTTGAAACCGTACCTCCCTATGACCTATTCCAAGTTTCAAGGTCCGCACGATGATAGCTGATGGACAAATCGCCACTGGCCTCGAAGAAAGGCTTGCTATATTTCCAAAACGATATGATTTGTATCATGGCGCGGTTGCCCCCTTCCCAAATCCAATTGACATACCGATTGTGCGAGCTTTGGGACATAGTCCGACAAACAAATACGTCCTCCATACGGTTTGCCTTGGACGGGACTGGATACTCACAATTCTCGACCGGCCCCGCGGTATAAAATTACCGATACTTTGACGCGATTCAGCCTCAGGCTTGAATGCGGCTCCCTTAAGGGCTAGTTATTAATGGCCACGACGAGGAGGGAGTTTGGGGGGGGGGGGAGAACCACGGAGGGCGGTTAAAAGGCGCCGGGAGTTAGGCCGTGTGTGCTTGTTTTAATGTACACGCGAGCTCTTCGTTTCTCGAGGTCTGTACACCCGTCCGATGTTCTCTCCGGCCCCCATACGTGTGTCATAGGACACCTTCAGAGGCGGTTCATACGCTACAAAATAAAACTTAGAATTAGTCATTTGCATTTTAAAGTAGCCATGTGGAATGCGATGAGGAATCTGACTTGACTTTTTACTGAGGCTGAAGTGGACAGTTACTTCAGTGTTTGTCCCCCTTCAAGCAATAAAATGAATGCATACAACCGCCCGAAACCTAAATATGGGCCGGAAATGGCTTTTGCGCAAGAAACAAAGAGAAAAATTTCGGAAGGTGAAAAGCCGTAGCGACTTGAATAGCGGATTACCTGTCTAGACCATACACGGCAAAAGTTGTCCTGTCAAGTCAACTCATTTCATTTGTTACAATCTGCCCTAAGTAGGACAGCAAGTGGACGACCCATGGGACCATATCAGATGACCCTCCACTGCAGAGGGTGGAGGAGGCAGGACTTAGGTCAAACGCTCCAATCAGAGGGAGGAAATTGACCTTGCCGGCGTTTAAAACGCGTGCACGGCATTGACGCTGCCGCGAAAGTCTCTGTGCGCGAAATCGCAAATTTCCCCAACTCTTCTCTCCCCTGACCCGCGAAAAAGCACAGCTCGTGAATTGTCAATGCCAAGTTTCTGCAGCTGATCTGTCGAATTGGTTTACTGCATTAAGGGAAAAAAGGAATAAGCTTGTTGTAGCTTCCTCAGACCTCCCTGAAGGCGAAGAGATGCACAGAAGGGTTGAAGAGACTACTGCCACGGCCAACAGGCCATGCCACCCAGCGAAAGTTCAAAGGCGGAGCCTTAACTTCCGGCAAAGCAAATAGAAGGGTGGAACAACTAACCCAAAGTAGCACACTCGTGATTCCACCTTTAAACCGCATTACTTTATCAACTCGACCATGAACCGTGTCGGTAATGTACACTGTGAGATTGGGACTACCGAATGTAAGTGGCGGTCTGCCAGCTTTAGCCTCCTATGAAACGCGAGACGAGGCGTATCCTTCCCATTCCTCCAACCCGAATCCCCCCTACTGCACAAAAAGTAAGTCACAAGAAAATTAAAGTCATGTATTATTCGTCGCGTGATTTAAATGAGGCATTTGGTCTTGCGAAGAAGGAAACGAAGAAGACAACATCACCGAATGTAGGGCTCTAATTGCATAACTAAATACGCAAGAGCAGGAGAAAAGGAGACACGGAAATTATGCTGGAAGGAAGAAAAACGAACAACGCGATTGACGATGAGCGAGGACAGAAGGGGCAAAAGGTGGAGCAGTTTTTGATCCTCACATCTCGCCTTTTGTATCTCCGCTACAAAAAAATGACAGTTGAATAATAAGACCCCATTGATTCACGTTTTCATGTCGAAAGGAGTGAAGTAGGAAGAGGGAGAGAGAAGGGCGAATAGCCGATTACTCGGAAAGACAGCGGGAAAGGCAACGGAGGTGACAGAGGGGATGATTAGATGCGGTCAGCTCCGAGCATTATACTCTCAGATTCGTAGAGACTCTCGTGCTTTGCCATGATACGCATCAGAGGGCGTAGATTGAGCCACCAGTTGTCACAGGGTACACGATGTTTGAAGTCAGTCACGCGTTTCAGATCAACCACTCGAGAGTACTCATAAGCGCGCTTGACTAGTCCCAGAAGCACAGACGTCTCGTCGCCATTTGTGCTCACTACGCCTGTGTTAGAGAAAAAACAAAAATAATATGACCTCGTGTGCTGACCCTTTGAATCCCTCGCATTTTGACTACCATATCCATTCACGACTACCAAATTGTCAGATTATGCTGAAGCAATTGCTAAACTTGTGCTACTTCGATGGCAACTCTCTTCTTAAAGGCAGTTCTTTACACTCATAGTTGCAAAAATAATACAGGAAGGAAGAAAAGTACCTACGATGATGGCTGAACCCGCACAACGCGTTGTATTTTGGGAACTGTACAAATATTGAGCCCTGCTTGGTGGCAAACAGTTGAAAAAAGTAAATTTGAGAAGCCAAAAGTTGTCCTTAAAGAACCACTGACGGGATTCCTAATAGTGTGTGGTCTGGCAACACAACATTCCCTCTATGCTAATTTTAGGCCGATGTCCTTGAAAAGTCAATTAAGGTGTGGAATGCGCCCACAGTGGAACGCTACCGCCACCCCGATGCAGTTCACCTAATATGTGGTCGTTATGCCAAGAAATTCGATTCTATCCATTCCTGGACCGCAGTGAATTATCAATTGTCAGAAAACTCGTGAGGACCGAACCGGACAGTGACCAGAAGATAAAGGAGAGGTTTCATAATTTAACGCACAGCTGCAGGCGCCTTTCTGGTCTTCTTTAATCCAGCTGCCATTCAAGTGGTCTAAAGGTGAGTGACAACCTTCCAAATAGTTTAGCCGCAACATAAACTAACATTTCGGTACATTTAAAATAACAATGCAGTGTCGCATTGAGGTGTTAGCCGGAACAGGAGGAGGAGGAAGGCCAACAACACTGTGGTAATTGAACAGCACTGACCGAAAGTATAGGGGATGGCAGCAAGGGCTTTTAAAAGGAAAATAATAAAAATTTTAATAAACATTCCCGAAATTAAGCGTTGATGTCAATGGTTCTAACGCTTGTACAGTATTTTAAACAAAAATGAGAAAAAAATATGGCCCATGTCAACTGTTGGACAAATCTGTGCTAAGTGGAGGGAATAACGCCCTGAAACTACTTTCAGGTATAGCATCGTACAGCAAGATTTGACCTTCTAGTCTTCCTGAATCTCATTATCACTATTGAAATGGAGCAGAAAGTAGAAATAAGGCTTAATTCTTCAATTGGAAGTAAAATGCCCCCACAAATCGAATATGGGAGATACTTAGCTGGACCCAAAAGTCTGTATAAAAATGTGGAGTAAGAGCTGAAGAGTTAGACTTACCATTCTCATTGAGGAAAGCGCTCATTTGATTGTCCAACCATTCTATAGCAAGAACACCCAGTTTGGTTCCCAGAATACGATCAAAAGGCGAGGGCTCACCACCCTGTTGAATGTGACCCAACACCGTCATTCTGCGAGGAAGACGGGCAGGAAAGGATTTTGAAAACATGGCAATTCACAGTATCGTCAATCAATGGAACGTTGTAGACTAGTAAGCGGTTACGTCCACATTACTCAAATACATTGTTCTTTGTTGCTTAGACTTACTTCCACCAGTCCAAGGTTCTATGAAGGAGATTTTACCTTGAAATTGACGGATACCAACAAATAGAGAGGGTTTAATGGAATGCTTTTACAGAAACAGAAACCACGGTTCTTTGAGTCTACTATGCACAGCAGCCTCGTCAAGTACTTAAATTAGTTAATTTTTCCACCTGAACCTGTTACTGCAATTGGGAATCGCGACTAAAAGTGCACTGCGAGGTCACGATGTCGATGGATTTTCATGGTGCAGGACAAGTATGACATAAAAATAACGAACCTGCAGTCGAAGATGCCCTGACCCTCCTCTGAGTAGAGTTTATGGATGAAATCCGTGGAGTAGTTCTTGTTGGCCAACTCGGCACGCAGCACCAGACCACGTTGCACATTGGAGGCCATCTTGGCGCGCAGGTGTGTGACGTCCTCGCGCAAATCGTCAATGCCGAAGGCCTCCTCATGGATATACGCTGCGTCGGCGCCTCCTGCCACGGCGCCCATTGTTGCTAGATAGCCACAGTAGCCGCCCATTGTCTCCACCACAAAGACACGACGCTTAGTACCTGTGGCACTCTGCTTGATTTTGTCAATTGCCTGGAAGTCACACAGACAGATGAACAGATGGATTGAAACATAGATAGAGCAGTATTCAGAGAGACTAATAGATACAACGCCTAGTAGATTGATGAAGGCATGAATACGATGGATTAGCCGGGTCGAGAAATGAATGGAGAGGAGGCTTGAATCATGAGCGGGGAGGAAGAATGGGTGGGCAACCAGACGGGTGACGTTTAAAGGCATTTATTTCCCGCTATCTTCTTGATCTGTTCAGTTTTTCTCTTTAGACTTTTGCGATTGGGCATCTGCGACAATGGCAGAAAGCTCTCCACACCTATCTCCCATAGCCAACAAGCTATTTCTAGACTCGTAAGCCTAAGGGGGGGGGGGGGGGGAAGCGAGTCATTTGCATCTAGCCATCGATTCTCTCTTGTGTTATCCGTGTTTGCATTCTGCCATTGAACAAGGAGGGCTTTTATGGACTATCATCCATGCATCAACATGCAAACAGACGAGATAGGAGACAGAGTTGACCTGAAGACAGTAATTTAGGTACCACTTTCACTTTCCATTGCTAGCTTAAATGGATGCGACGACCGATGAGAGGCTAGATTGCTGGTCAGTCAGACAAGACAACGGATGTCTGTTTGGAAAATCCAACCCTACATTGTTGTATCCCTCGTTTCTTCTATTCGCCTAACCTTGGGTCAAGTCTTCCCAGTTGTGTTCTGGTTCCGATGACAACCTTTGGCATGGCGCTTAAAAGGATAGATCAGAAATACTTCGGGACCTTCTAATCGAGTTACCTATGAATGGGTAGGCACGAGGAGAGGAAAAGTAAAGGCGTTTTCACCTATTCACCTCGCCTTATAGAGCTAGACAATTACACAGAAAGTTATTGGTGGTCTGGCATCTCCGACAATTTCACAGCGCCTTTTGGGCTTAAAGTGCCAGTTAAATACCGGGCCAGAATTTTGCAGTCTTCTTATCTGGAAGTCTCTTCTGGATTTTCCCCCTCAGAGATAGTTACGATTCAAGTATCTGACTTCCTCTAGTAGTGACAACAAGTCTGATGCCCTTCATTCTCCAGAGAGAATATTTTGAGCATGTTCATTTTTAAGGTCATGAAACAGTATCCCACTGTCACAGGTCTACATTAATGGGCAATTTCAGTTCCATCTTCGATCCTACGTATGATAGTACTGATCCGCAAGCACTTTCAATCATAAATTTTACCGTTGAGCTAAAGCAGTAGCACTGACAGCTAAAAAGCCTAGCAATGCACTGCATGAGGCAATAACAAGTAAGTTAAGCAAAGGTTTGATAGACCAAAGAACAATTTATTGGACTAAATGAAGTAAATTCGGTTCATTTAGACCTATACCACCCTTTCTGCCCATCAACTTAATCATGTGGTATCAGAAATCAGTCCAGACAATGCTAAGCTTTTGGAGTAGTAACACAGAGACCTCTGAATTGAAAGCATGTTGTTACAGCGTTTTTTCATTCGGACCAGTTTCCATAAAGGAACACATTCAGTTTCACCAACATAAGCCCATCACACTGTGATATTAGGCAAAATGCAGCACTCAAGAGGTGGTGCACTGAAACTACGGACTGATGTCGTCTACGAAGGCACTACTTGAACTGTGCTGTAATGGATTAAACTTTCCAAGAGAGCGCATAAAAGTTTTTAGCCTTGTTAGGATACAAAAATGACCAAGCAATCATTTCGTCCATTTCCTTCATGATTCTATTCTCTTCATATGTGCAGTTAAATTCAAGCTAAAAATCTAAAGCTTAGATCCACTGAGTCGTCCCCAAAACACAGTTGACTTACTCCAACAGTTGATCATACAAATGAGTAAACAAGAATCGAATAAAGGGGTGACTGGGAGAAATATAAACATAACATCTTGCTTTACCGCAATTCAGTGGCACTTTGATTTTCATTCCACGCTTGTATCCTAGCTTTCACACCTATCCAGGTGCTTTAGGCACAGATACGAGGTTTCTTGACCTATCTTTCACCCACCGATTTACACAGCCATTGAAAATTTGCAGTTTAGGCATTCCTCAAGACTGATCTCACACCAACGCATACACAAAGTTAAGTAAATATAAACAACCGCGTAGAGGTAGCTAAGGCGTGAACTTCTAGAGGCACCCCTGTGACGTTGGCAAGAGTCCAGGGTCTGGATCTAGGGCACGAAGAGTTAGCAAGAAAGATAGACTCAATTGCTGGTAAGGGTATGGCACCAGTCTACCAATCCTGTACGGTTATAGTAATGTCACTCCCAGAACGGTAAGCCTCAGTAACTTTTCCATTAGGGCCTCGCCCACTATTCTTCGAAGTCCATATACGTTTATTCGATAAAAGACAGAAAATGGAAAAAAATAGGGTCCACCAGTGTCCTATTTCAAGATAGCACACCGCTAAGGAATTTATAAATAGAAACTTTGGAGTTATAAAACTTAGTAACCAGCAAAAACTTGAAGTAAATAGCAAGTTTTTTTCTGGTAAAAATCAAGCGCCAAAGCTAGAATCATTGACTGAATGCGTGCGCGTGAGGTAGGAACCAGTTTATAAAAAAGGAGACGACATAGAAGACGAAAATTGAGAGCCTCAATGTTTGTTTATACCACTTCCATGGCGCCAGATGAAGTCTGCTAGGTGACAGAGATAATCAGATTCATACTGCATAACAGTTTAAAACTTGTTGCAGTGTCGCCGTGGGACAGTGAAACCAAACTTCAATCTGGAGGTTGATGTCCAATCTACCACAATCAAGTTTTAAGGCAGGTGACCAGTTACAATGTGGAGTGGACTCAAGTACCGCCTTGAAAAGCAGTGATCAAATTTAAACCTTGAAATAAACTCCTTGAAGACTGTGATCAAGTTAGTCATATTATTTTGGAGATATAGTTAGAAAGGAGAAAGAAGAGGACCAATCAGATTGCCTCGAATCACAGGTAGATTGATAATCCCGTTTGCCTAGTCTGGCAGTTGTCAAATCACAACTCCAGGAAGGAAATACGAAATATGGAAATTGACACAATTTCAAGTATTTGATTCTTAAAGGCCCATCGCCTTCAATCAAAAAGCTGACTAAAAAGAAGGGAAAGAGGATAAACTCACCAGAGTGATCTCATTGAGAGCGGTGTCAGCCCCTAGGGAGAAGTCAGTACCAGGCACGTTGTTGCTGATTGTGGCCGGGATCATGATCATAGGGATGCAAAGCTCCTTGTGTTCGCTCCTACCCTCCACCAAGTCGATCATACATTCGAAAGCCTCAAAACCACCAATCACCAGGAGACCACTGATCCTGAATTCGCCCAATCGGGCGGCCACTGCGTCCAAGCCAACTTCCCTCGGTGTAGGTCTGCGAAGAGGAAAAAAAAAAAACAAAAAAGTATCTTTTTAATTAGACTTCAAGGAATTAAGGATAAACGTTATTTCTAATGGATTCAATGCTTACGCAAACTTATTCTGGTTGGATCTATGAAAGAATTGGAATGCGAAACTCGATTGGAACATGGAATCTACCAAAAATACCGGTTGAACCATTTCTTAAATGCTTGATTTGGAAAGAGATGTATCTCTCACAGATCTAGAAAGTGAGATTAATTGGGATAAACCACCCATTTACATAAGAAAGTAAATCACCAGATACGTTTGCGTAGTCCGTCAAGCGAAATTAAGCAACCTCTAGCTCCATATCACTTTTATTTCCTGATATTCTCTTCTGTTCCGAATGTAACTGGCTACAGTCAAAAAGATGCTAATCACTAGAAGAATTATCAGAAGAATAGGGGAGATGAGATGAGGCAGTAATTTTATCTCAAATCTTCGCATGAATCACGCCTGCGATATGAGACCCTTCATTACTTCCTGCGTATACGCCTTTCTTCCGACCGACATGGCTAGTTCTGCACATTAGGTTTTTGTAGAACTTATCTGTTTAGCCATTAGCAAGTGAGCAATCCTTAGCGAACAGTTCCCTTTGCAGGCCAAATATAAACATTCACAAAGCAACCTTTGCCTTCTGGGGACAAAGTGTTGTGTGGACAATGAGCTGATTGATTGCTGGAAATACAAAGTCCATTCAGCACCACAAGTCATTCAACAAAGTGTTGGTCTTTGAGTGAGACCCATATGCTTGACCTCAATGACTTTCTCTTTTATAATCATTCACTGATAGTTCTTGACATGCTAATCACGAATTAGCTTGTCAAAAAGGCCATGCTATTCTTTACCATCAGGAATAGAGAGCATTTCCGTATTTGATACATTTTCCATTGAGTAATTTGTCACCGAATTCATTTTTCAACCGTTTATAGGCCGTATATTGTTCTAGTACTGTACTTTTCCCAATTGCAAATTTGCCAAGAAACTTTTACAGCTTTGAAATAGGGTAAAGTCGGTTGGCAAAAAGGAAAAATGCGATTGGCTTCCGTCGGGTCCAATTGACACTGAACGTGAGTGGGCAAACTAACGAAAGCAGGAAGCACAGATAGACTGCAGTGTATGTGCCCCCCCCGTTCGCTCAGCTAAGGCACGGAAACACTTGATCGTGCTTTGTGAGTTCCTGCAAGTTACAAGTCACTGAGGTGAGACACAGGTATCTGGATGGGCCTTCTGGTCACCTGATGTAGCATAAAGAAGACATAACTACTTTGAAAACATTCATTTCTAACCAAGACAAGGACTGGCACAAAATTCTTTTAACATCGACTATTTGAAATAAACCTCAGGCCATATTTCACCTCATCTAATAAAAAGCCTTTTCACATGTTCCAGTGAAAATTGGATTGACCAATCAAAAGATAGCTCATGCACATACGACCTTGGTGAGGACACCAGCATAACCTTCTTGTCACTCCAATCACACTGGCTACCAGAGGTAATGAAATATTTAGAGGGGTCATATCGCATGCACTTTTGAGCCGTCGTGGTTTCAAAGGTACCTCTCGAATAGTTGCTTTTTAAAGAGGTAACTCAGTACTTCACCAGTTAAAACACGCAGTCAGTAATAGAGATGATAGATTGTATGCATACAGGCATTATTATTCCGGGCTCGGTTAACCAAAAACTTCATTTGGAAGGAAAAATAAGAAGTTTGTATGACTGGAAAAATCACAACCCTACTGGGCGGTTCACGAGCACCATGACACCGGTACTGGGTCACGAGCTGCAAACATTAACCAAAGCCTCATACCTTGTCAAACATCGGCAAAACTGGCTACGGTTTCCAGAATCTTTCAGCAGTCGATTGGCTCCAACCAGCACGACCCTATGAGATCTGGCTAATATACATAACAGTGAATGTCTGCTGAACTCAAAAACCATTTAACCTCCGAAGTCAGTCTTAGTAAGCTCACTGAGTCGATTGTCTGGCAGGGTGACTACCGAGCAGCTTAATCTGGGTGTAGGAGCTGAAGTGGAAACAAATCTACGTCTAGTAATCGAGCTGTCCTATTTTAGAGACAGTCAATGAGGTCTTTCGTTGAGCTTAAACCATCTTTCCTCCAAACATCTTTGCTGTTGTTCTAGTTACACTGTTGCTAGACAGTGAATTACATCATACAAACTGCTGGTCGAAAATTCAGGTATTAGGAGAAAAGGCATTTCCCAATGCAAAGCGAAACGGTGAGAAATAGACAACTCACCGACGAGTGCCGAGGTTGGAGCCACCTTGGGAGACCCAGCCCCTGACATCGTCCCAGAAGATGTCACGAACCTCGCCATTGACAAGGCCCTGGAAGCCCTCAAAGATGCCCACCACATGGTAGCCCCTAGTGATGGCAATACGTGTGAAGCTACGCATTGCCGCATTCACTCCACCCGCTGGTGCGCCCACATTCACAACAGCGACACGCAATTTCGCCTGGAAAGTGAATAAACAGGATTGCTGGCCTATTGGTACGAGTGAGAAGACTGATTCGAGGAGTGGAGGTGGAGTTTTGTATCAAGTTGAGGAACATTTCACAGAACTTAACACAACGAAGAATAGCTGCTTTTGTACTAATCAAAGTAGGAATTTCAAAAAGCCAAGTTAGTGGCCATTAAATACACACGACAGGTCAATGAAAGCATGGTTGATAGTCACACAACAAAAGGAAAAGATCAACCGTCAATGACCAGTGTACTATGTAGGAGAAAAAGTAAACATCAACACGGGATGGTTCAGAGACCATAATCTGACTTGGCAAGTAAAATTTTATTTCAAACGAACGTAGAAGAGAATGTGTTTGGTTCAATTAACTGGAGCACTAAAAAATAATGAACCAAGGTAGGCAGCCAGAGCAGAGCATTTTTAAGAGATTGGGAAATAGAGGAAGGAAGGCGTGAAGAAGGTTGGTGGAAAACTAATGTGCGAAAGATAAGCAGAACACAAACTTACGATAACTGATGGCTGTGAAAGGGACAGGATAGAACAAGACATGAACATGCATCAGTAGCAAAGCCAGATACGATAATATGATGCATACACCAAAGAGGAGTGGCATAATAAACAATTACTATTCGACAATCAAATGTGGTAAAAGCAAAACAAAGAGATCAAAACAGACCTTCTAGCGTCTGGAGCATGCTAGAAGGTGAAACATAAACCCACCCTATTTTCAACAGTTGGAGGGTTGATTTTGGACAGAGTGATATACGTGTCCACATTGGTCATGAAGCTCCTACGAAACAAAAAAAGTAATTAGACGAATATCAAATTTTATAGCATCACACAATTAGGACCATCACAGCAGATAAACAGATGACATTTGTCATTAGACTGGCGTAGATTTTGAACCTTGGGAAACAGTTTTGATGGCACTGCATTCCGACCGATCACCTTGTTGGGTGGGAAGAAAAGATAGATTTGTTGACTTTTAAACAGTAGCTACCCATAATTTAGTCCGGAAAGATTTGTGGAACATGAAGCGCCTTCTGTCCTTGCATAAACCACAGATCAGAAGGGCGAAAATTGGCATTACTCAGTCCAGAGGACGCCAATCTGGTTCCAGCTATTGTTAGAATAGCTCGCTGGTGTAGAAGTCCTTCTGATTCTTTTTTCCAGAGTCTACATCTCAGTTGTCTGCATTGTAGTGGGAGAATGACTAAGGCATGACTCACAAACAGTCTTGACAAATGACAGTCATACACACATGCACATGCATTCAGGAGACGTACCGTCCACGGAGGAATACCGCCTGTTCAAAATCGCGCTTCGCGATAGCGACAGCCACAGCTCGGGTCTAGGAAAAAAGAAAAATTAAAAAATCGGTAATTTAGCCCATATCTCCAAATAGGGTGCTGTTAGCGAAGTTCTGCCAGGTTGCACAATTCCTGAGTTATGATGGAGCATATTCGCGAGTTTTTTGTCAAATTAAATACATCACCTGGTGTCTACATCACTAATAGGTAAGTTCCCTTACTGAGTTGCTTGATCCCTCCTACAGGATTACCATTTTTAGGGATTATATGCGTTTGATGTGCCACAGTAATGTTCAAGTCCTGCAGAAAATGTTCGTCAAAATTTATCCATTTTTCAGAAACAAATAGGAACTACGCATATTCCTTTCCTTTCGGTTCAAGTGATGGTCCAAAGCCAAGCAAGTAATAAATAAGATCTAAACAATTTATTAGCATTAGAGCCTTCCTTTAGGTGCCTCTCGAGGATGATTGCGGTTACCTAGATGGAAGAAATGAATTGCACACAAAGGAACAGTAATTCCGATGGTGGAGAGGAGGAAAGGAAAGCATGCACTTCCTCCACCATTGTGTACTGAGCTAGGTAAAACAAAGAAGGAATATCCAGTAGATTCAACAAAATATCCTTCCATGATAGATAATAAGAACTGTAAGGCTAGACTGAAAAATAAACCGCCCATCTTATTAGTCACCAAATTTCTTAGAAATACTAACCAACAATAACCACTTCTGGTCGCAGAGAAGTGATTAACAATGAACATTTTTGCCTCAAACAGGCCAAGAAACGTGCAGCAAAATACATAAGTTGCGTCAACTACACTCCAGATTAAATCAGTGGAGTGATCAGCATGAAATTAAATGTGCTCAGATGATATAATCCATCAAGTGAATTATGTAGAAATAATATTAAGTAGGTGACTGGGTGAATGCTACTGTTGCTTAAACCGAGTGAAGATCCTAAAAGCAAGGAGACTATTGGTTCTCAGGGAAAAAGCCAGGGAGTGACAAGTACCTAGATGCTTCAATTTGGACAAAAAAGCCCTAATAGATCAACTTTTGAGTGGCTGTGGAGTCTAAGGCACCTCACGCAGAATGGGGTGAAAGAATACCAGACCCTCTCAATCACATCACATGGGCAGCTGGTGAACTGAATGACTAAGGAGCTGTCTCTTCAAGGCAGTGCACAAGAAATCTGCTTGATAAAGTCGCCAGATATACGCAATTTCGCAATCTACACCAGCATCCGCTCATCCCAGTACCAAGCCAAACTATGATACAATTTCTGTTTGAGAGGAAAGAGATCAGTATGACAAAGGTATGCAGACAGTCTATTAGTTCAAATATGGATGAGCTACCTACCTTCTCTACACAGTGCATCAATGGCAGACGAACAGCTTGATTTCCTACGAGAGTGATGACACAAGAGGGAAGGTCGGGATTCTTGTCCGCATCCATGAGAGCCAACACCGCCTCAGCACCCATGCGAACACCGAGGAGGCGATCAAAAGCCGAGGGGCGACCGCCACGCTGCACGTGTCCCAGCACTGTGATACGCGTGTCCAAACCCAACTCGTCCACCATTAATTTTTGCACCATCTCACAGGTAATTGGCTTATTCTCTCGATCCACCGCACCTTCGGCTATCATAATGATGCTCACACGTTGGCCGCGTTCACGATTCTGTTGACGAAAGCAAAAGAGCTTTTTCAAGGAAAATAAAACCAAGGAGCCACACGTGGAATTAATCAATCATTCTAGAAAATGAACAATAGGTGAGCCGATCCTTCTGCAAAACAGTGCTAATGGTCAGACCATATACAAGGGCATAAATGCATAAAGTGGAAACTCCATGCCAGACGACAGACAAATGATCAGTTGGCTGATGTCAGCAAGGCATTGAATCAATCCTCGAAACAAGCTGAGCCAAGCTCCCTCCGCCACCTAGGATTCTTTAGTTTCAGCCACTAGTAACAAATCTTAACCAGAATATTGTCAACAGTTTGGTCACATTTTCTTATTAGCTGGATTAAACAACTCTTCAACAGGACGTGATGCAACACCTACCTGGAGCTCCACTGCAAAATTCATCAAAATAAAAAAACACGGAGATAAACTGAGGCAAGAAACCGAAATTTGACAATTTTACCCACCCTTCGAACCTTCGAACAGAGCAACTCGGGCCAGTTGTCCATCGGTGGTACCTCGGGGATGAAGACCCAATCAGCTTCAGAGGCAAGAGCCGAAATGAGAGCAAGATAACCACAATTGCGTCCCATAACTTCCAGAATGAAGCAACGTTGATGTGACTGCGCCGTGGTTACAATAGCATCCGCCGCCTCAATTACACGGTGCAGCGCCGAATCCGCGCCGATGGTCATGTCAGTACCGCAGAAGTCGTTGTCAATGCTGCCCACTATGCCAACTATGTTAAGGTGCTCATGGTTCGATTTCTCCTCATCGGTGATTTTTGCTGTGTCGAAACGGATGAGCAGTTGAATGTGATACTACGCAGGAGGATTTCAAGATAAATCCCAAAGAATTGAAAAAAATCTGAATGGCGAAAGCCTTAAATACACAGAATTCTAGGAACATATTGGGGTATTACGTAACTCATGGAATAGAGCCAGCAAGCAAACCAATCCTCGTGGTCTATAAATGTTGAGTAAATTGGACAATTTCATAACAGAACCCACCATTTTCGTAAAGCGAGGCAAGAAGGGAGGCCCATTCAACACGAAACTCGTTGGCTCCAGTGAGAGAACCGTCACCACCGATGACAACAAGATTGTGAATGCCATGCTTCACCATGTTAAGTGCCGCCTTCTCACGGCCTGCCCTATCGCGAAAATCCTTGCAACGCGCCGAACCGATCACCGTGCCTCCCTATAAATGTTTAAGACGAATAGGTTTAGTAGGTGGATTGCTTTTGATTATTATGTACGAAATGACTCATTGAAGAACTCGCCATTTCTCAAATTTACAGGCATAAATGATGGTATCTTGGTAAGATGTGGCTTAAAGAATTTATACGCATCGCCATGAGTGAAAGCATGTCTGCTAAAAGAGATGATAGTGAATTTAGGGTAATGAAGTCTACACTTACAACAGAATTCAAGTCAAATAATTTTCGTTGTTTGAGACATGAATGATGACAATTCCGATTTAAATAGTCTTGCTTTTGCGGTGCTTGTTAGAGAGGTAAATCAACACGAATTCCTAAACACTTTTTACGACTCCGAGCTCGATTCTAAGGCGACCCTCAAAGTGAGGAACCAATCTAGAAGAAAGATCATAACTACTGGATCAGATGATGAACTGACGTGAGTTTTCAGATAAGTTGATGAAATTTTCTGAATTGGATTTATCTACACCTTGATGTGCCACTGTACGAAAACTATTTAGCTGAAAGGAATGGTAGGAGGTAGATCTTTGTAAATGAAACCTACGTTCACAGAAGAGTTAAAATAACTAGAAATTAAATCTTGCTGTGACCCAAAAAATTAGCATTATTTTTTTATGACGCTGAAGAAATGTGAAAAATAATTGCCCTCCGAGCAATCTTTTAGCAATACACACTTTGGTTTAATGTGGTCATAAACTGATAACGAAAACATGTCACATGCTTGTGACGCTGGTAACGAACACGTTAAATAAGGTGCCGAGGTTACCAAAAAGAAAACAGAGGAAAATCAGTCGCAGATAATCTCGTCAACTTTTAGGGGAATTTAATGGTACATCGACCGGTGATTTCAACTGATCAATAAAAAAAAGGAAAGATGGTAATCCAAGCATTACCACCTAAAAATTAACCGAAACAGATTTCTTGAAAATAAATACTATGAAATAAAAGAGCAATTATAGGTTGCCAGTCTCAGTAACACGTAAATCTTGCTAATATACAGAGACACACTGAACAGAGGCCATACCAGTTGCATGATACCGGAAACATCAGCCCATGTCGCCTCTCTGATGTTTTTGCCCCCATCCACAAGGCCCTGATAGCCCTCCTTGACAAAGAAGACGCGACATCCACAGTAGAGACCCATTCGCACGACAGCGCGGATGGCCGAGTTCATCCCTTGAGCGTCTCCACCACTGCTCAGCACTGCGATCGACTTGCCCGAGAATTGGCCCTTAGCCACGTACTTACCCTCCATACCCGGAAAAGCCACCGTGGATCGGCGGTCAAACCTGTGGGAAGAGGGAATAGAGAGACGCTTAATGAACAGTACATCAAAAAGAGTAAATTAGCTGAGTCAGTAGTATGCGATCTAATCACGCTTAGAACTCCGCAGGTCAAAATACAGGGGAAGAGGATGCGGTGCGAAAAGGAGGACAGGGAAAAGCATCGCGAATTGCACATATAGAGACATTGATTAGAACTTACGAACGCCGTGTTGAATTATCGAACTCCTGACTAAAAAAGGTGAAGGAGCATGCACATGTGCATAACAGATGTTAACAAAAGCTTCGAGCAGGCATTTAATAAGGTTAATATGAGGCCTAAAAGGAAAATGCATACCTCTTATACGCCGCATCATGAGACGAGTAATCTAAAAGCGTAATTATGAAGACAAATAACAAGAACCGAAAAAGGCGGCCAAGTTTTTAAGTCTATATAAGATTTCGTGATGCAGCAAAACTTCAAAATGACACAATGCTCTGGGAAATGAAAATCCATGCACGAAAATTAGATGACGTTGAAGGAAAATAAGTTCCGCTGCGCTACAATCCAAAAAACAAGTAGAACAACAAAGCTACTTCAGACCTGAGTACCTTAAAATAAGAAAAAGAAAGTCTAGCAAATTGTTTCTTAAGTGGGCTTTATGAATGTGGATTTTTTACCACAAAAGAGGCGAATAGTTAAACTTAGGGCTTGAAATAAACCCCAAAATGTTGGCAGTAATAAGAAGCGCACCATGCATTGACATTTTGGCTGCCATGGCGTCTTTGAGCAACAGTCCAAAACCTGACAACCCCAAACTTCACTGAAGAACGCGCCGAAGTAATCGTCACGTACGAGAAGGCGATTCTTGGAATAATTTATGCTGATAAAGTAAAACAAGCACCCTATTCACAGGGTAAAGAGAATTATGTAATGTAATTAAAAAAGTTACTTATTGAAAATTTGTTTTATTTTAGGTTTGCCATGCAATGATTGCTGAGTCTATAAAGATGGGAGACAGGAGAAAGAAAAGAATTATCTTATGTTTCGGACTAACAGCTAACTTTGAGCTGTCATCTGCAGTCTAAAAGCAACCGTAAAAATGTTTGAGCAGGCTCATGGTACAAATGATTAAAAGACATTTGCGTTCCTCTTGGTGTTTAGCCAGATATATTCCATAATTTGGACCAAACATAAACTCAGTAAATTTTCTTTAATAGCATTTAAGTGGCTCTATGGAGAAGCTATTTATGATGTGGGACGGATCCACGCACTTAACCTTCGGTTTACCCGCACCTTATTTTGGTTCCGTTTGAGAAATGCCTGCTAGTAAACTTTTACATTGTTGACATGCAAATCCTAATACATACTTGTGGCTTTTGCCGAAATTGGGAAGTCAAGTGTTCTCTTGGGCATCAGTAATTATTTTGTTTCTCATTTGGTATTTTTTGTAAATGTTAAACACCATGCAAAATTTCGTTTTCTCAGCTTAGGTTGTAAGGCCAGTGTGTCATCTTTAATGTTATTTCATTAATGCATGCTTTTTATTTCTGGTCTTTTTTAAATAGCCTTCCTTCTTTGCCGTACGCTTGAAATGCCTATTTGTGCATTAATGTGATTGGTTGGTGGCAGGTGGTGTCAGTTCAATTTGTCTCCAAATGGTTGAGGGTTCCCCTGTATTGACTCGTAGACGGCACTCGGTAATCTCTTAATGTTTATGAATTATTCGTTTTCCGTTTTTTGCCTCCTACTCAGGACCATATTTTGGCTCAACACTTCTTTTTTCAGGGGATTATTATGGACCGTTCTCTGTGGTAGATAATTGCTTAATTTAATTTCCGCACACATCACTTACCTTTTTTAAAGTTTTTCTCCATGGTAATTGCTCATGCTTTCGGCTGCTTATCATACTTTTATATGTGAAGCATAAAAGGCTTTCTATACGCATCTTGATGTTCAATGGTTGTCCTTTTGTATCAGTAATTATCCTTGTTTCTGTTACTACCTGCCCTTATCTAGTTTTTAATAGCTGTTTATTGAACAATGTATTTGCGCATGAAAAGTTACGCCTTATTTGAGAGGAGAGTTTGAGTTTCTTAGAATGATAGGCGACTCAAACCTTACTTGACATTTAAGGAAATTATAGGCTTTTTCATGCACTACAAAACTCTTTATCCCCTTTCTTGTCTATTGTAAGCCTCTACAGCTGCCCTAGCGACTGATACCTGAGTAAGCTCCCTGCACCAATACCTATTTTTAATGGTCGTTCTGGCCCGATTTTTTGTACCTGATCATTCCTTTCTACGAAATGTTGCTAATTCTTACGAATCCTTGGCCATGACCATTATTGACTAGTTTGAAGTGCTGGGCTTTGGTATTTTCAATGAATGGTTTTTCCAACAATGCCAAAAAATGTCTCTGGAATATGTTTTTCATTCTTTTTCTTTTCATAAGACGAGATTTCGGTTTATGCTGATGATATTAGACAAAGATTCTTGAACAAGTTCCGGTCGCTCACGAAGTTCTACGTCTTGTATTTGCAAATTTCCCGGTTTTTAGTTGACTATATAGTCTTTATCGGTGAATGTCTTCATTTAATGCGTGTTGTGGATGGTGTGATCTGTTCTATTTCCTTTTCGTAGTATTTCTTTGTTTGTAAAATCTGCAGCTTTTTTTTCAGTTGACCTTGCATGAATTCCACCCTAGTGGGTTTAAATGGGTTATCCTCAAAAATACTGGAAAATCCTTACAGATAAACAATTGAGGCATTTTTGTGTTCCCTTAATTTCATTGTTTGATGATACCAATAGTTATACGATTACATTTCCTTCGTTACTGGTTGTGCTTTTCCCCCCTATAATAATAAGGGAAATTATCTTCAAATACCTTAAGGTTGGTTTAGACTTAGCAAGTGTAAATAGATTATTTCCAAATATTCCCAATTATTTCTGTGAAAAAATGTACATTGTTTCACCTACATCGTATTTATATTTTGGATGTTACATCTGGCTTCTACAATAGGACATTTGTGCCCTTCACAAAATGGTGCTTTTGAGTGCCGATGAATTCTTCCTCGTTATTAACCTTTTTTTACTTATCTTCATCGCCATGGTTTATGGTGAGTCCTTGCAAATTTGTCAAAAGTAGGAGCATATCTTTATCTGAATGTTTTTTTTCCATACCCCCTTGTATCTTCTCATTCTTGCCATTATTATAGATCTAGACATAGTGTAAAGGCAAAATTTTGGGGTGAAAATCCATATGTCTATAATTGAAATGGCGTTGTCATTCCTGCGCCTAAATTTAGGTGTTAAGGCATTATGATGCCCCATTAAGAAGCAGCATAATGCTTAAATAATTAATACTTATCAGTTTTCACCTAGAGGTAACATTTCTATAGAGGGCTAAGTAGTTGTCGGCTTTCGCACACAATTTCGAGGTGTCGTAGTTACCCCAATGTTGCATTATTGAGCGATCCTAGCAATGGAATGAAACTTGTTGACACACTGGTGTCTGGGCATCACATTCTTCCTTTTATGCCAACAGCTGGCGTTATTAAACATTGGGGCCTCCAGGGATGAGCCACACAGAGAGTTAAGTAGAGTGGTTGGCCTTTCTGCTTAACATTCCCTTCTTTTTGCGTCAGCCACACGATGACACAAACGCTGAGACAACTACCCCCAGCACCGCTGCTGCTGCCCCCGCGCCACCACGCACCGGTGACTACTCTTCCGCCGACGAAGCCATAGAGACGCCCCTTGCGAGTGACCTTGATATCGAACCGAATGTGGCGGAGAAGGTGCCTCATGGCTCCGACCACGTGCCCGTCTTCCTCGAGACATCCGTGGCGGGCCTCTCGCCGCGTCTCACCAATTGCATTGTGCGTCTCTTCATGTCCATCGTCATGATTGGTGGTTTCCTCTTTCTCATCTACCTGGGCCCGCTTGCTCTGGTGCTACTGGTAGGTTCACGTTAGCTTCATTTTTTATGCATGCATCAGTTTTGCATTTCTCAGCTCTTTTGTGCATCTAAATACGCCTAATTATGCTTCTTTAAAGAATCATTTCATTATGCCTCAAAATAAGGAACAAATTAGCAACTGTTCACGTGATATAGTTTACATCTGAGCCGGTAGCTAAAATTACTAAGCCATTCTACTCCCCTACCTTGATTCGTATCAGTTCACACATTATTTTTGGGTCGTTAACTTCTTTAAATATTGCTGATTCACTTACCTGTCGTTTGCTGGTGTGTATATTAGCTTGTTTTTGAGATTAAACGAGATTTATCAACCAGTATACTGTTTTTTATTAGTCGTCCTAATTGTCCTGCCTGTAATTAGAAACCAATTTTCTTTTGCCCCTTAACCTAGCCGGGTAAGTTCGAAATGTCCAATCCTGTTGTGCCGGTGACGACACCAAGCCTTTCGATGAAGTTACATATTCTTTTAACGATACACTTGAGTGACGCTGCTTCTGGACCGATTATAGATTTTTCCATTAGAATTGCCTTGTACATGCGAGTTCAAAGTTGACATTTGCCAATTGGTTTCTGACGTGGTGTCGCTGATGCATTGGTACAAGCTGGGACACTGACCCTCAAATTACCTAGTGCATCCACTTTAGTCTTTCTTCAAAACAATAACTCAGGGGATGATAATATCGCAAAAAGTAGTTCAATCTCTCATGATAAATTATTCAGCTTCTACATCTTTTGGAGACTGTGACACGATCAGAGATGAGTGTAATGGTAAATCCAAATCTTATCCATAATTACATCTTGTCTCAGAACTAACTTTGTGCCACAAATAGCTAATTGTGTAATTAGTAGCCCAATGCATTTCCAAAACCGAATAGATTATAAGCTGTTATTTAGCTATTGTACCCAGCAGATCTATTCAAAAAGTTCCTGATTGTTATTAGATTGGTAACCGCTCCACGGCCTTGGTATGTGATCTCGGTCAGACCCGCATACTTCACTTGGTGTACTTGTAAAATCGGTTAAGTCTGAAAGGCCCGATTGAAAAATCTTGCTTTGTGTTAGGCCTCCGTTTGGGAGCCATTGGCCGAGTTCTTTTGAATCGTCTGATTATTGTTAGATTGGTAACTGCCCACAGCATCTTTATGTGCTGTCAGTTAGATTCGCGTCCATTGGCATTTATTTTAATGAATGCAAGTAAGAAGCGGTATAGCGATGGATGTAATCTTGACAGCAGTTTGAATCCTAATCTCCTTCTCATAAGGGTTAGTCCAATCTTTGGCAGTCGTGCAATTTCTCGGTCTCTTTTTTTTCCCATGAATTCACATAGGACATTATTTAGCTGTACCGAGTAATTTGTACACAACAGAACTTGCGTTTACTTAAGCAATACTAAATTGAATCTGTTCATTTTTTTCCACACTTAAATGCCAATGCAGATGTACTTTTTGTAAGTTTTGCAAAGGTGCTAAAGCTAGAGTAGCCACGCAAATTCAAACGTGCTACCTTGAAATTACTGACAGGCATGCGACTTTGGCAGAGAAATTTGAAGTGAAATCCTGGATTTCAAGTTCGTAGCCATTGAAAAAATCAATCATTCAGTCTTCATTAATATTGATGCTAAGACAGGTGGTTTATGGTCAAATGACATGATTTCGTTTTTTCAAATAAAACAGTGGGTTTAGGGGTTTATGTGATGCCAGACAAAAGTGTTTCGATTTACATCAGGAGTACTTCGTGCTTACGCATTTCAAATCTACCTGCTTTTTGTAAGTCAATTTGCCTCAATTTCCATAGAGTAATGTCGGTTTTTGCTACAAAAGTTTAGCTTATTGCGCTTTCCATGGGCGCTTAGTTCACCGATTGATAAAGCCCTTTTTAAGCGTGATTAAGAATACCGTTGTTTGAGGTAACGTTATCATAGACACACCCGCATTGAATACATTTGTTTAAAATTGAGATGAAAGCCTTTTTTACTACGGTTCAGGAAGTAGAATTGAAAGCTGCATGCCAAGAAAACGTGACACCAGTCCGTTTGCAAAAAGTTTAGCAAATACTGCGACTACCTCCACGAGTCAAACTTTTGATTTGTTTGAGTGGCGTTGTCATCACAGTATGCCCCAAGCCCCATTTCTTGTTATTTTGTGATACTCTTGCCGTCATTGGCTTAAAGCTGTTTAAGGTAGGGCGAGAAACTAATTCATCTTGCTACATTTTGTGCTCATTTGATTGCTGATTCATTTTTTGGAGGTGTAGGCAACGTTTTAACCTTAGAATCTGTTAGATTTTCACAATCTGCCTCTGCCAGCTCCATTTTTTCCCAAACAGAATAAACATGCGCGACTGAGTTAATGGGAATCTCTACAATTCAACCAAGTCTGCATATTTGTCTAGGAACTTCTACCAACACCTATTGGCTTCAAACCAAGTCTGGTTCCAGTTTTTTAAAAAAAATCCAGAAACATTGCCCTCTGCTAACATCTTTCAAGTCCATTTTCCTCAATTTGTCTTCGTTTACTTTGCTGATACATGGTGATTGGGAATTTGTTAGATTTCAACCCATGATAGGCAAGTACGATGCGGTGTAAGTAATTTCCTTGATTGATAGAGGTAACAAATTTTCTTTTCACAACGAGTAAGTATAAAGGTGGAAGCAGAAATTTAAAATAGGTCCTTTGCGCACGTTTGTTTTTGGTTCGCTAGTTTACTTTAAAGTTGGTGCTGTTAAAATAATGAATCAACTCCTCAAAACAGCAAAATTTCTCCAGGTAAGTGTCGTTGCTAGCCTTAAATGGAGATACGGTGGACACTCCTAACCATAGTCACGTATGTATCGCTCCGGTTTTCTTACCCAAACTAGTAATTTACATTTTTTGATACTTTCAATTCGAAGGAATTCAAACGGTTTATTAAGGAAAAAGGTGTCATTACGAAAACTAAACTTTTGGCTTGTGATGATCGACTGCCCTTTGAGATAACTCGTGGAGAAAGTGTTAAAAGTGCAGTATGAAAATCCCGCACTATCTGGAAGGCCCTCTCTTTGTCCAATCCTCACCACAAAGACGGTTCGGCTCGCTAATGCGGAACTCTGATAAAGTATTTCAATCTGGGTCGATTCATTCCTTCTTCTACGTGTCCTCTAAGCGAATTTCAAAGGGCATTAGTAATTTCTTCTAACCTGTGTATATCTATTGTGAACCATCATCACACCTAAGTAGAATTGGAAGGAGATAGTTTCTGCATCTCATCTTAACGCTTTGGAGATGAGATACTGTTCTCAGAACTCCCTCCTTCAAATACCTCTCATCCGATCAGCAACAGATGGTAGTAGCAGAATATTTTGGTGCCAAACTAGCCTTCCTCCTCCTATTTTGGTATGGTTGTTTCCAGATTCTCAGAGAAATATCGTTCTCTGATGTTATGATGTTTTGGCTGTTCTAATATGACACCGATTCTTAAGAAAATCGGACATCTCTTTTATTGTTTTAAACTAAATCACTGTGTTCTGGACACGCCTAGGTGTAAATCGCGAGGCCGGGGTCGGGTAAGGGATCCAAGAGGTCCTACAGACGTGACTCCGGTAGCAAAATTGTTAACTCGACTTCGAAGGCTAGAACGGAGTAAATACGCCAATTTCTTGATATTGGCTGTATAGTTCTGACGGATACCTCCCTTAATCCGCCTAACCCAAATTTTCAGTCGTACTTGATGTTCAGCGAACTTGTAGTGGATGTGGACCGGTAGTACTGTGCTTTCCTTTTTTTTCAGGTGCTGTGTCTGCAGTTGGCGTGTTTCAAGGAGCTCATTCACATTGGCCATGTGGTCTACCGGACGCACAATCTACCGTGGTTTCGCACACTTTCCTGGATGTTTCTCTTCACCTCCAACTACTTCCTCTTTGGCGAGAGTCTTATTGGACGCTTTCGTATCCTCCTAGCCAAGGAAGTGAGTCCAACACGTCTCTTTGCTCCCACCTCTGAACTCTTGCTCTACATCCATCAAGAGTCCTCTAATTTACCTCTGAATGAGGCGAATAAACTAAGTCGGGACCTTTAAATATGTAAAGGACGGAAAACAGCGAATTTTAAGTAGAATCAGCATTCAGTACTGTTATGCTGTAGTTCTCTCCATACATAGCTATGGGGAGGAGTTATCCGTAGGCTGAACCATCCCAAAACAACCTGCAATAAATAATTGGAATTCTCCCCCCAGGGAGATCTGGCTCTTGTGCAGTTTCACGACAGGTTATAGTTTGATCAAGAGTTTCTCACGCTGGCCGTTAGTTGTTTGCTGAATTCTACTGCCTACGGGCGTCACTTGAATCCCTACATTATTCAAACGTCTTACTGCTTCTGAGCGTCTCCTTATCATACTTTGCTATTTTAGGAGCTTTCTATAGGAGTAGCTGTTTACGGGTTTTGCGTCTCACAAGTAAAAGCTATTTAAGGTAAATGCACACATTGCTACTGTTGCCTGCCATCTTAATGGCCTCTGTCTGAGTAGGGCTGGTCCACGATATTTGCGCCAGTCATCAAGGCTCGCGATAGGCCATTCTTGGTATTTATAATGGGTTTTAGTATCACTTGGGCAGCATCATTTTTTACGCCTTTGAATTCAAACACCCCGGTTCGATTTGAACGCCTTTCGTAGCGTTCTTTTATAGCGGTTGAGTCTGCAACTACGATTAGCGCAGATGGAAGTTGATTTGTGAGCGATTTGGACCTTCTCATTCTATAAGGGGCGGAGGAAGTTGACCATTGATTTGTGGCAGAAGAGTATGCAAGATAGCATTCATCTCCTCCGATGTCCTGTTTTAATCGTACCAATAGTCCATCCAATAGTTTGCCTACTCCTGTTACTGTATGAGTGAATGAGGCTAAAATAAATTGACATTTTGGTAGATTTCGAATTCCTACCTATTTCCTCTAGGGAGCTAGCTACCCTCTCCTTTCTTTATCTGTCTGGGATCTATGAAGTAAAATTCACCCCGGACACATCTATATTAACAGATAACTCCTTCTTTTTCTGTAGACTTGAGGCTCCTGCCATGGGCATTCACTTCCATAGTATCTTTATGAGTGCATATCTCTCTGAGGTATCTCCACGTGTATGACCTCTTGGGGCTCCTGTTTCTAATGAGAAACTGGTTCTTGTTTGGGAAGATTATCATATTCTCATTCCGACTTAAAGTTTAGTAGTGCTTGTCCAAATTTCTCTGCAAGTCAAGCTGTGCTTGACAAAATCAGCGTTGTCTGATTTCACAAAACTGACTCTCAAATTTGGGTACCACATTAACTAATGCAACCACATGTCTATCCCGGTTCAATTAAATGCAATGATTGTGTAATGGAGCGAAATTAGGGAATTTTTATAAGAAACTTTACTTTTGCACCTCTTCACCTCCCTCTTCTAAAGTAACAAACCACTTGGGTTATCTTTGAATGTGTATTACTCAACAAACGTGCGAATTCAAAAGTATCTTTACTATCGATGCACAGAAAGACTGGGAGTATCTTGATCAAATCGTCGAAGACTGTTGGGAGTTTACGCGGTTAAACAGGTATCATTTTGTTGGACTGTATTTCTTTATAGGACCGGTATTCTCTGTGTCCTTGACCTTATCAAGAGTTAGCAGTTTGCTTCTTTGAACTTTTCATAGATGTACTATGGAAGTTGTTCTGATCAAATGTAACCCGAAATGGGTACCTCGAGATCCATTCTCTAGTCTTGAATACTCCATGTTCCTACGATTGGTGCTTTTCTCTCCCTGTGTGTTTTACCTTGAAACGCTAATATCTTGTCGGAGGCACGGACCTCTCTCCTGCTTTCGGTACAGATTGCATTACTTCCATTATCCAGTCCGCTCGTTAGCAAGTTGATGGCTGCGTTTGTATATGCTCGCTTAATTAACAATCTAGCGTTCATGCGTATCTGCCATGGCAACGAGATGTGTTGACAAGCGTAGTAAAGCACCTCTTCCTTCCTCCCTATCCCTCGATTCGTTAATTCCGCATTCAGTGAGAGACGGATTTACAGCCAAATGAACTTGGACGAGTTATCCAAAGTACGGTCGTGGGGAGGTAAGTAAACCAATCCTGACTGTAATTCAAATCATTGGTTTGTGGAGGAGTTAGGAAATATCCCCTCGTTATTCTTTCAGCCTCGACCTCCCTATCCTCTTCATTGGTCGCGGAGAAGATGTAGCCCTGAACTACAACCCTTTAGCACTTGACATGGAGGATATAGGAGTTTGGGAGTAGCTTTATCGTAACTCTATAGTGGGCTTGGGGGACAAGTGGTGTATGCATCAGCGTGGGAGATTGGAAGAGCCTACGTGGTAACATCAACGGTTTAAATGACCACCACCGCTGGTAGCATGTCAAAGAGAGCGACTAAAGGTTTTCACTTAAAATGTGTACAATTCCGTACCATTTAGATCAAACCTCCCTGTCGAGTTTACCTAAATTTCAAGAAAAGCGCAGCGATTGTGATTGGCTGGTTTAAAGTGCGAGACAATGAAAAATTCAGAGCCATCTCTAGCTAACCTCTGCTTTGGTATGCATTTTTCATTCTTGATAGTCTCAAGTGACCTCCTTCGATGCTTAAAACGAATGGGCTTCGATCACAGCGTTGTGGTGTTTTCTAGAAATCTGAATTGCCAATGACGGGCTCTGCTTTATTCGTGTTAGCGACGTAGCATAAGAGGCGTCTACCACCGGCTAAGTAAATTCACACACACCCTCACTTGTATCGTCAAAATTGTGTAACCAAGCACAGTTGAACTGCGCAATCACACTTCCCTTTGATGTTATTTATTTGTGTGGGTTTCGCCTCAGGCAGCTCAGATTACAAGAGATTGGGTGGTTGTTGAACTGCTGCGCAGTTCAGTAACAGTGGGGAGCCTTTGTTTTCTTGCATATGATTTACTGACTCAGAGCAGACTTCGGCAATTTCTTGAAATTCATTCTCATTACGATGATCCTAGGATATGTCTTAAAAAATATATGTATAGGGTCTCGAGTCATTCCTGAAGGCATGGTAAAGCATGCCACGGCGGAATAATTTGTTATTGGGATGGCTATGAGTGGGGAGGCTGCAGTGATGGATGGATATCCATGCCACCAAGATCTGTGGCTGAACAAATTAGCTGCAGCCACTAGGCTCAGGGGATTATTCTATTAAAATCGGTTTCTATTCGGATCCAAGGCCGCCTTGCCATCTTTTACCAACTGATATATTTGGAGAAACAGCCCACCTAGATGACAACTGTGTTTAAATCAGGCGAACGAGACAGGTTCAAGAAGTTGAGCATGACCCTCATGCATTTGGACAAATATAACTTTTGATTCTGACTTGAGAAGTACGCTAGTCATTATGACAACGATCAAGCGCCTAGTTTTCGTGATTAACTCAGTCTGTCGACGCCCAGATTCATATAATGCCACAGCCTTCAAAACGATGCCAGCGCTCGCGAATGTTTCAGTGTTGCTTTCGTTTTTTACTTAAATTTCACCGTACTCGGGCTCCATTAAATTAGCTTTTGGTTGTTCAAGAAAGTGATAGATATTCTAACATCTGATCTACTGTTGATGCTTCGGGATTCAAACGTGACAACTTTGGTGGCATCTGACTCTTCTAGCTATGGCATTGGGACTTTCACATCCCATGCATTACCGCATTGATCACAGAAGGCCCGCTGAATAGGCAGCTAGGATCCCTTAGCCTGTGGAGCGGAATTAGAGCCAGATGAAGGCATTACCGATCACTTTTGGCTTGAAGAACTTCTACTTGATGGCTAGTGTATAATAGTTCATCTTCCCGAATGATTATAAGCCCTTTTTAAACACTTTTGGATTGAAGAAGGGTGTATTTGCATGTATTGCCAGTTGTCCAAAGCAATAGATCTCGACTCGACTTCCACTGGTCAAGCGGATGCTTTATCACGATCAGTCGGCTCTCAAACCGTCCAAAGAGAAAATCTAGTGACAGCAGCTCTTACCATCAAAGAGGGTATCAAGCAAACCATTAAGGGCCCCGTTTATCCCATTGCCAATGACCTCAGGGACAGTTAAAATGACCGCCAGCTGGGATTCCATCGTTGAAACGGTGGTTATATTTACCCAGGCAAGGGAGTCCAAGGTTTGTTCAGCTCCGGAGCTGTGTCAGTATGCCAAGTACGGAGGGTATTTTTCAACGACGGAATTGTGCATTGTGTTTAGGGATCGGGTGGTTATTCCAAGAGCTCTCCGACAACAAGAGATCAGACCTAGCCATAGCTGCATTTCACTGGTGGATTTAACAACGAAGGGTTACACTACCATGTACCAACCCCACAAGACACTTTTGTCAGCGGTAACAAAAAGGTTTGACCTGGGTGCTGGTCCTATTGTCATTGAGCCATTTGGTGCAAATCACTAAGACAGAGAAATAAGAGTTAGATGAGCAAATACCACGATCGAATTTGTTCGACCACATGCTATAAAAGTAGCACATTTCATCAAGCGATAAAAATGTGCTTTCAATTGCGGCTTAGGCACACATTATTGCTTGGATCAGACTAGCAAATGCCAATAGGGAAACAGTTTGACTGCATTCACGTCGCTTAACCTACAACAATCGACTTTTGGACCTTCTATTTCGTATCATTAGATCTTTTCTTGCTCTGGAAGTTGATTCTCCTTCGTCTTGATTTCATCGTCGTTTAGGCTTCCATTAAAACTGTTCTCGATAGCCTCGGTGTGCATCACTGTGCTGTACTTTCTTGCTGGAGACCCAATTAGTCCTTGTTTATTGTTTTACAGGACTTTCTGGCTCCGCTGGTGGTGCACCATCGTTTCATCTCTTTTACCCTCTACTGCGGTTGCATTGTCGCCTTCGTTTTAAGCCTTGTGCGACGCCACTACCTTAAACAGTTCACTCTGGTGAGTCATCTTTGTTTAACTTTTACTTATTAGAAAGATTTTATTTCGACTCGATTCCTTTCCATTCTCCATCTGTGACGAGACATTCCATTCAACCCCGTTTTCATACGTTTTATCCTCTTGGCATTTTTTAACAAGGGAAGTCGCGTCGTTAAGTCTTTTTTAAGGGTAAAATTGTGTGTTGAGAGATGTTCATTTCAAAACCGATTCCATCAAATGAATCTATTTAACTGGCCGTCATCTTATCTCGCCCTGTCCAGGAGCATGAATAGTATTTGATTTAGAATCGCCGTCATTTATCTGGTGAGCCCAACTGGCTACCTATTCCAACACTTAATTCAGACTTCCTTTGTTACCCGCAAAGCTTTCTGCCTTGCCTGCATATTTTGGTCTGTCTTAGAAACCAGAATAGTCTTGACCAGTAGTCTTTAACTAAATTCACTCTAAGTTTGTTTTGTTTAATGGAGTTTTCAGCCCTTTCCAGTACCATGATTTGTCTTTCACTCGTTCTCTATTACCGTAATGTATGTGTGACGTCCCGATCTGAGTGTTCTGAATAGTTGAAATGGGTTTGTATCAGTCTATGATAACCACGGTTCTATCAGATTGTATGGCGTAAGTAGATTGATGCAGTTAAACCGCTAAAACAGCCATTGGGTGAAGTTTTTTAGCAGCCACTGCCTGCATCTCTTAGTTTTTGGGTAACACTATTTGTACTGGTCAGTTTGATGCGTTGTGATGGTTAATTTTCCCCTCGGACTTATTCTGGTAGCAAAGTCATAAAATATGTATTGCTCAATTGCGTCCTTCGTAGAGTAAAGGCGAATTATATCGTCGAAAAGTCTTTCCTGGTAAATTAATGAGGTTTAGATGGGTGTCCAAAGTAGTAAAGTGGGTTGGTTACCCAAAGTCTAGTGATTTACGAAAACTTTTGCACGACTCCACGTTGGCTACTGTCAGTTATGTGGGATTTTTTACTGTTTCAAATCAGCTGCGTGTCATTCCTCATGTTTCAAGCTTAGCCGCTTTAATTCCCCGAATGCATTGAGCCATTAATTTCTTTTCTGGACTTCTTCATAGGTTTCGTGTAAGCCGACATAGGAGGGAGAGAAATGGGAATAATAATTCAAATTAGGGTAAATTATGCTTGATGACATAAGCTACTCTTTTTAAATACATTACTACCTTTCAGAGTGTTGGAAATCTTGGTAGGTAGTCATCGCTCATTTATCTCCTTAGTTTTTAATTGGTGCATGAATGTTGTACGAATGGACATGACTTCTAGTACGACTTGCTTCCGTTCTTTAGATTGGTTTGTCGGAGGTCATCATTCTTTACCAATTCTCAATGGCATGAATTATCTCAGTTGGTGACTTCTGTGTGATGTGACCTCACTCGAAAGTGATTTTTTTGGCGTTAGCTTCAGCCATTTTGCTGGCTTTTTGGGCCTTCTCAGGCACATTGATAGTTGTATTCTGAACTATCTTGTATGTGACAGAGTCTATGATCCACAGGTTTCTTTTGTTCATTGAAGTTATTCCATCAAATACCCATTTGTTGAAACCCTTTTTAGGAATACAAACGGTTTCATTAAGTAGCGATTTCTCTGTGCCAAAGGTTAGCTAGCCATTCATAAACTCGAGGCATTCTAGGCTCATTCCAGCGCTCTTCAGCCACCGCTTTTATCACATTGTTACCGTCTCATACTACTCCCTATTAATTTGTTGCATATGTCTCATAATTCAATCATAAACCGAGAATTCTCATTGCGGTCTGCCGGCAACACCTTACCAACTTTTTCCGCGACCGCCACCAGCCTCTTGAAATGAATTGTCACCTGAAAATATTTTGGAGTGTCGTGCCAGTTCCCTCAAGTCTTCTCCATATGAAGTCTGGTTTTAATTTCTTTTACTTTATTCTGAAATTTTTTTTGCATTGGGGTTTCCCTCTCTGTCCTGTCGGTGGCAACTAATCCTTCTTTATCACCACCTTCACTAGAAAGTATTTTGTGCTTTTGAAGGTTTCTTCATCTCCCACTACCGTGTTTATCATTCAAGAACTATTTTAATGCTTTCATTTTTCTCTCATTGATCCGATTTAGAAGCACCCGGCAAATACTTTTGAGAGCTAGAAGTGGTTGTCAACTCACGTCAGTGTAAACTGATTTGTATTTTGCACATCACTGAAGAGGTGCTTATTCTTGATGTTCGCATAAACACTCCTCATTTTAAGAATTATCTGTAAACCAGGAATTTTCTTTGTTCTGAGCGCAACTCAATCCTTCGTTCAGTACCCAGAAAACAGCCTAATTTGCGTACTTATATGCGTTACTTGTAGTTAGAAGTTTCACAGAAAGCTTTCTCAGTCAATATCAGGTTACATTTATTCTTTTTCTATACTGGAACCAATTTAAACCGGTAACTCTCCGTGCTGTCGATCTCGGTAGAGCCTAATAATTTTATAACGACCTTTTATTACCAATGTTTACACGTCCTCCTTTTTGTTACCTCCTGTCGGCTGAATAAATTAGGAGGCATTTTCAAGGTCTACATGAAGGGCTGTAACCGGATTCTACCATTATTTGATGTCCAGTTTATGGGATTGAGGAATTATTTAGTCCTGAAATCTCCACAGGAAATGCCACTGTCTTCCCCACAGGTGAAAATCAAGACTTTTAAAATGGCACATCGTTTGTTTGAAGTGCGGATTTCGTAGGAGGCTTTCTCGAATGCGAATTGGATTGGCCCTTTGATTTGTCTTTTGACCCTATTAAACGAGGAGTTTCACATAGTCATTAGGCAGGTTGAATAAAGTTCACATCCTGAAGGTAGATTTATAGAATTAAAAAACTATTTTCTTTGTCTTTCAGTTCGGGTGGACGCATGTCTCCCTCCTCATCATCGTCTCTTCTTCTCACTTCATGATCCAAAGCATTTTTGACGGCCTCATTTGGTAAGTCACACTTTTTCGTCAGTAAACATGCATTTCCTCACTTTAAGGTCACAACTTCTCAGGTCACTTATATCCTTTCAAACTCTCCGCATTAGTTTTTCTGCCTTTCCTTTTTCATGGACACAAGCCTCACTAACATAACGTGTCATCGGTAGATCCATTTTAAGTACCTGACTTCTAAGTTGGTAGTTGAGATGTTTGATTGGCATTGGTACGAGGTTTTTTGTTTATATACTTCAAGCGTAGCTTCAGACCTATTTCCTCTTCAACTGCTAGGTCACCAAAGAAAATATGTGAAATCTCATTACTAGGTTCGCTTCATTGAGAAACATCGCCTTGATCATCAACGAAATGCTTCCATCACCTGATATTTTTCAAATTATATTTTGAATTCAAAGTACGGTTAAAGATACGTGCTCAAATTAATGGATCTGGACCTTGCGAAACTGTAGCAACCATGGTGATTCCTGAATCAGTAATGAGACACAATATTGGAGAGGCATGTGAAATAAGACTGCACCCATTTTCAAGGTCCAGTTTGCATGTGTGGCGTGATTTATCCTAGCCTTCTCTCAACGTATGAATCCCATTTAGTCCCTTCGATGGGGTTTTAGACAGTTCTCTTTTCCATGTCCTCTTGGGTATCGGGAAGTGGTACATCTTCTGATTTAGTATTGGTGATAGCACATTGTTTTTGCTGAGATTTCTGCTATTTGTTGTTTGTTATGATGTGTACGCATCTTTCCGAGTGTTGATTATGAGCGTCTATTCTAGTATGGCTTTAAGGAAATTGTTTTATTTTCCAGTGTACAATTCCCCCATCGAAAGTCTCCTGCAATGTTGTATTCGTTGAAATGCCCACCATGAGAGTATATCATCTACTGTTCTCTCTAAACTCGATGCAACCCTGAGCACTCCACTTTAATAGACAATTTTGTCGTTAAAAGACATCTACCCACCTCCATTACCACCCCACTTTCATTTCCCAACCTTTATGTTACATTTGATTAGTTACTACTAGAGGCAAGAAGGGTTGGTGATCACTATTTGGAAAAATATCCTCAGGGAAATGCGAAGTGTGCAGATGGTGAAGCGACGCTATCGCCCTCCATTATGAAAGTGCAGTTCGCCTGATGAGAGAGTTTTGAACTATAAGGCATTTCGTGGTCTTCAAAAGATAACACTTTCCTCCCAATGATTCACCAGTCTTGGGCGCGTCTGCTCCTTAAATTTTCTTGTCAAACTTTGAGTGGTGCCGTGGGCTCATTCGCAATTATCTGACAGCCAGCAAGTGGACAATTCAGAGTATACAGTTCTGCCTGCGTATACACACACCTAAATTAGTCTTCCGGGGGTTATGTAGTACGTTCCTTAGAAGTATAGAGTGAATAGTGAGTAAGAGTTAACTCGGAATAACCACTGGTATGTTTGTCAACTCGATGGCTTGACAACATTCCCACTGAAATGATCAAATGGACCCTGTACAATAAACAGCGTATCAAGGTTTCACTTAACTCATCTGTATTTTACACTTTTATGGGCGCTTCTTGTTATCTCATACAAATCCGTAAATGGCACTGATCTTGTTCCAAGAAAATTAGCCATTGCCCCAAATCACTGACATTTGCTTTTGTTTAATGACTGCAGCCATTTCAGATTGGTTGAAATAAGAAACAGAAAGACTAAAAGGCACTTATCAGATGAAGGATATCGAGGATAATGCATTGGGAGCTTAAAGCATAACTTTCTCGGGATTAAAACAGCCTGAATTGAATTAATCAAAGAGTAGGCGATTCTCAAATTTCAATCGTTAGGGTAAGGTTGGGTCCTGTCGAGGTCACAAACCCGAGTTTTTAATGCTGCGTCTCTGTCTTTGGACGCGTAAGAGAAAGCGAGGCCGTACAGTGCGCGTGCGGACATGATAAACTGGCTGGATGGGTGGCTTCTAGACTGGTTTGTTTATATTATTTGCTTGACCTTGTCCTTTTGGCCATTACTGGCGTCTTCAATGCATATCCGTTAATGTTAATTAATCTGAAGTAAGTGAGCGGGAACGCGTCGTCGTAGAATGGTCCGGACTTGGCCACGAAAATGAAATCCTCTAGAAAATTGGATTAAGACCGCTTTCTGGGATTTCAGGCAGCCCCAGCACCATTTTGAGCAGTTTAGTTCCAGAAGATGAGTAAATTGCTCAATATGCCCCATGGATTAACAGTTAACTGGAAAATCATTGCATAAATGAACTTAAAGTAGCAAATTTTTAAGCCCAGAGAGGGATTTTTACCTATCGGATCGCACACAGGCAGAAATGTGATACGTAAAGAGGAGTTTGAGTTCTACACATTGTGGTAATCCGTAAACACTAAGGTTAAAGCAAAGTTAAAGTGAAGCACACCACACGAAATTGTGCAGTGACAAACTAAGCTGGCCCTGCCTGCCTTAGGTCTTACTAATTGGGCAAACCGATGGGAACTTTTGACATTAAGACCTCGTGTTCGCCGTTTAGTCCGACGTGGATAACATCTTGAGGGTTAGTTAGTCAATTGGTTGCATCGAGCAGGCGTCTACGACAACTGATACATAAAATGAAATGTTGAAGCAAGAACCATGCCATGAAAAAAGCCCTCGGCTTCTCAGGTCGTTCACCGGTGAGCGTGGGTCAATACTTTTGATGTCAGTAATTACTAGACCACGTAGTTTTAACGCAATGCTACCTGTAGGGCTAAACTGGGTTCGAGAAATTTCCAAACCAACTTGCTACCACGTCTTCCGCAGACATTAAGTCGTTGAATGAATGCCGCGCATGCATTTCTCATTTAATTATCTAAAAAGACGAAATATTGGACAAAATCATGGTGAGAGTAGTTAAGGCGCAGTTTCGTCTTTTAAGTAAAATGATCTAGGGTTCTGATTTGGAGGACGTTATGTCATATAATAACTAGGGGAGAAGATGGGCATTCAGAAGAGCCACATTATGAATGGAAGCAGCTGAACAAAGGGTAATTGACCTCAGAGTCACATTGCTCACGACTATTTGAGCAACATGAAGAAAGTACATTCCCTAAAGGCGTTTTGGGAGTAGAAGATCTATGTTAAACAGAACATAGGAAATGTCCAACTTCATTAGCAAATGTGGAAGTTAATGTCATCTCCCATTTCCATTAATATCATGAAGGCATTCCATTATCAGTATTGAAAGTTACTGAGGATGTCTAAGACCCCCAAGAAGTTTCCTTTCCGTTATATTTCAGAGGTAATGTTTTTTCACACCTAACTTTCAAACCTTCTAGGAAGTATCAAAATTCGCACATTCGTCAAGTCCTCCTGAATGTCTGATATCACGTACAGGTAGGCCTTTAAATGTGCTAGTAAGCACTGTAAGTACGGATGAACAGAAAACGTACTAGAACGGAGCCATTCCATGGCCTTAGCCAGCGGGCACGTATGCAATGGTTTACCCACACCAGTCGGCAGTAAGGACCTCCGTGCCGAAGGCTCTGCCGCTTGCGTTATTTAGGTTGGAAATAAGACAGAAGCTGTGTTCGTACACAACAGTTTGCAACTAAAGCGTACGTATGTCTGGTTTTGTAATCGCTATCAGCACTAAACAGCCCACATAAACAAGAGGTTGTGACTTGCCAAACGAGGTTGGCATCGATATGACTTTTGGTATTTGATTATCATCTTTTGGAATGTATCTTTAAACTGATCTCAGTGAAAGTAAGGCCGCGCAATTGAAAGGGCGGATAAGATGCCTGAATAAAGTCCATAGCCCACGTCTGCCTGGTTGTCCGTTGTTTGCAATAGGGAATAAGGCAGGGGAGTGAAGGGAGCATCGAGGCTTCGGGCACAAATCACCTATAGAAGTAGCACCGCTCCTCAAACTATAGACGAGAAGTGGACTTGCAAATTAACTGCCTCATTAGTTGTCAAACTATCTTGCATAGATTGACAATCCTGCTACGCTTCACAGACCTGGGCACTAGAAAATGCTTGACAGGTCCTGAAGCACACAAGTGCGAATCCTCCCTACAAGCTTTATCGTTTGAAAACTCCACCCTTACCGACCAATAGAGAAAAAGAGTGTATTTTTTGCCAAAAATTACTAATTTTTACATCAAAAATTCGAGGGCGTCGTTTCAGGTCAAAACAACCCTGACATTGTCTCAATACATTGAGATTTGCATTTTGCTACTTAGTTTTAAAAAGCAGCATCAATCCACTTCAATTTGGGAATTATTTCTTTCATTTACAAACAAGGGAGCCATTTTGAACAGTGTTTCTCCTTGCCACGGATGAACTTCTGATGCCCGCATTCTTGCATATAATGTAATTATTAAAGAAACACATAGGCTGGTGGATTTGTTTATTTATGATTTTTGGCACGACATAACCTTTAAGGCCGATTCGTACCACGTTTTATCCGGAAAGCACCATTTGATCCTTATTTTTAGCATCCTATCGAGATAAACGCTGAAATGCACAGAGCTCATCCCTCATGCTTAATTTTCAGTTCTGAATCACTAACTTTACTATTTCAATAGCTAGATATGTGACTTTGACGAATTCATGAGTTGATTATTTGGAGAGATTGACTATTTTCAATGGAAATCTTTAGGAGTTTGACTTCTAGTGCACCTATTTATGGATCCTTTATCGTGTGCTCTCCTCCAGGTTTCTAGTGCCCGTTGCTATGGTCATCTCCAACGATATTTTCGCCTATGTTTTTGGGATGCTTTTTGGCAAGACACCGCTGATCAAGGTGTCACCGAAGAAGACATGGGAGGGCTTTATTGGAGGCGGCATCTCTTCTCTCCTCCTTGGTCTCCTCGTGGCTTGGAGCATGATTGGTAAGAAGCATTTCATCTGTCCCATCGAATATGACGATCGGATGGGCGCTCTTTCCATGGATTGTGTGCCCGACGCCATCTTCGTCCCACGTATGTACAACGTCTCTCGATGGCTAGTAAGACGATGGACACTTTCGCCTACATAATCCATCATACGAAGTCAGAACCTAGTCAAACTTCCCTGTCACTATTGTAGTTCTTTGTGCCGGTTAAGCAGGTGGCCTGGTACCCCTACTTCTTCCATTGTATCCTCATTGGCGCCTTTGTCTCCATTATTGGACCGTTTGGCGGCTTCTTTGCGAGTGGATTCAAGCGGGCCTTCAAGATTAAGGACTTTGGTGATGTTATCCCCGGCCATGGGGGCATTCTCGATCGATTTGACTGCCAAATCTTTGTGGGGTGGTTTATATTCTTCTACTACAACTCGTTTGTCAAGTAAGGGACCTCACTTCCTTTGTTGAAGATACTACTTATTGCTTATTCGCTAATTCAGTAGCCTGCCCTCATGTGGTGTATTATAATGATTGTTTTGATTTCCGTCCAAAGCCAAAACGCATGGAAGGACTACAATGATCGTAGACTACTTTACTTGTCAAAGCTGATGCCATTTTGTTCGTTTCTCTACTTTTCCAAGGACAATTCATCACTACTTCAATCGAAGTTTTATTTCTGCCCATCCCTTTTGGCACTAAAAAGTTTTAATTATCTTTACATAAACTTGGAATTCAGTCAAAATTAGCATAGCTTCCAAAAATTGTCGAAATTCTAGGATAACCGACAAAGTTGGGGCCAGATGGTGCTTGTTCTCATGGTCCTGATTATCTTTTTCTCAAATTTTCAACCTTTATAATCCATCGCCATGAGTTTCTTTGATCTCTAAAGGAATACCTTTGCTTTTTTAACTGATTTAAGTGTCGCCAGTTTATGATGGCTCTAATTTTACAAAATCGTAGGTTGTAACTAAATTTGTGGCTCCAAACAAATTGATTGAGCTTAAAACGACGTCTTTGTCTGGGGGGTAATTACATCTCTTTTTACTTTCGAGTGTCAGCATCTGAATAGTTCAATTAGATAGTGTACATGAAGGTCCTATATTGTGCTGCGATAGTAGACCTTTCTCTGTGGCAAATCCTGGCAATGCATGTGGTATGTGTTAAACGCGGTTATGGGGTAAGTGAGTGTCCTCTTTTTCTGCCTCAATGTAACAGGCCGCTGACGCCGAGTAGCCTGCTGCAGCAGGTGTTTGTGCTCCCCCGACACGAACAATTGGCAGTGCTGAATCTCTTCCTCGACGGCCTACTTCGACGTGGTCATGTGCCACGCGAGATTGCGGAACCGCTGATGGCCTACGGCGAGAGCGTGAGGGCTGCTGAGGCACCATGATTGGTTCTGTGTCAGCCGTCATCGCGTATTTTGTGATTCGCCTCCACTTTTATTTTAATTCCTCTACTGCTACTGGTCTGACTGTTCGACTGAGCCGCTGGCTTCGTATCGTTGGTTGTCGCTGTGGCCGTCACTATTTGCTGTTGTTTATCTTACTTGCACCGTTCTCTGTGCGTTTTGTGTCTGCGTCCGTGTTGATGTGTATTTAAGAACGCGATTTCTTTGCCCCCACTGCTTTTAAGTTGTACGCAAACTTGTTGATTGAATAAAGGCACTTGATCCAGCCTCACATCGTTGAAGAACTTGGAGTTGGGTATGTAGTCCAGTGGTCTGGTTGATTCTCCCACATTACGGCTTCCGCACTAGTTGTATAGGACCCCTTCCCATGCCACGAGTCTCCCTCAATGCAATTCAATTCAATAATGGCTACTTATGATGGAAGCTTAGGTTTAAGTGAGTGGACATTGCAAGTAGAACTCCTAATGTAGATGTGAAAGGGTCTAGGTCACCATCTCGGAACTCCAGTTGAAGACTCGCTTCCTCGAGTACATCCATTCTTTGCACTCAGATGGATAGCCGAACATGGTTGTCTGTGAATCTAAGTCACGCATTCGACTACCTTAGGTCCGTTAGCTGTCTTGAATGTCTGCTGTCAGCAGGCATGTACTCTCGTGCCGTTGCTAGAGCCGCTTTGACGGATCGTGATTTAAGTGACCAGCACCCGTAATTATTGCAATACATGAATCGGCTACAATATAAAGCCTAAAGTCAACGGATTAACTGTTCTATGGTTAGTATTTCCTTCCTTGAGCTGCTTGGTAGTTTCAATGGCTGAAGGCCCTGAGGAGGCATTAAGTAATGCAGATAGTCGATTTACTTAGGGTCTCTGCACCTTTACGCGGTTAAGTAAGTTGAGCAGTCAGTGAGTCAGACGTACAGCGCACTAGCTCCTGTATGTGCAGGTACACATTCAAGCTGATTTTTCTCTACAGACTCAGCTACTCTCCTTTCCGCGCCTGATTTTAGGCATTGTAACCACTATCGCTTGCTTTCATGGAAGATATGATGAGGAATCACTCTCCTGGTATGTATCCCATCTCAGACTGGCTGACGCTGATAATTTCACTAGGATGAAGGTATAAAAGTAGAAGTTTCACGACATAGTCAGTCGTACGGCAGGGATGATTAGTGGGATTCTTGTTAGTCGACAAATTGACTGAAAAATAATCACACCAATTGCACTGATGCGCCGATATTACCAGATGGGTCTGAATTGACTTGTACTACTTTGTTGCACGATCGTCGCCCAAGAACTGCAACGTTGGATGGGCAACAACGAATTCACTCTCATCATCATTTACTAACGGGCAGCCACTTCAGAGCCGCAGCTGAAGTGACCTAGCAAACATAGCTGCAGTTCATGAACTAAAGCGAGAAATCATAGAAAAGAACATCATATTCCAGGAGTGGACCATAAGAAAGGCTTGAGTTGAAATCAATCCTTCAAGAAGTACATGGCATGGCGTCGAGAATTTTAAATTGAGGTATTGCCATCACTCAGTTCACCCACCTTGGATGTCTGTCTCATTATTCGCTACATTGAGTTGCATAAACCAGGACTTGCATTTTGAATAACATTTCTTGATTGACACAAACATCATTCACTTGCGCATTTGTGCTCATCGTCAATGCTAATCATAATGCCAGTCACTAATGCTTTAATTCACTTAATCATCCTACTCGTTCATTGTCAGTAGCAAGTAGTCTGGGTAAGAGGGGTATGTAGAAGGGGAGCTGGGCGAACGTGACAAATGCGACAGCAAGTGCGACTTAACATTCACCCTAGATTTACGCATCAGCGCATCATTGGAACCAGCTGAGGCAACGCCAAGATAAAGTAGAACGTGACCGGCATATCACAACCGGAGGGCTTCACTTTGTGTCGTAAATTTGGCTTAAATTTGGAATAATTTTAGGCATCAACTGATCATGGGACCCACGGCCGACTGTCGGAGTGGCTTCAATCTGTTGGTGACGCGGTCCTGATGCATCACTTGGAGGTGAAGTTGAGCATTACAGGATGTGGGTGGTGGGGAGTTTGCACGAGGAGGCAAAAGTGTGCGGTGTGTGTGAGGCGGGCATTCTGGAGGGGAATGAACTGATGCATTCTCACTGCCAAGTAGCTAACCCCTTGGCTGATGTGTGCAAGCTGCTTTACACACTTCTACTTGTACTGGTGCCAGCTACCTAATGTCGTGGGAGCAAAGTAGGAGCCATTACGTTGACTACAAATCCTCTTTCGATTTAGGTATTAGCATAATATTAGCCATGATCTTACCCTGTTCGACATGAATCGAGACGGTTTCATTCAACCTCCAGTAAACATGGAATCACTTGCAGTAACCGCAAGATGAAGTAAAACGAGACCGGCTTGTCATCGTCGAAGAGGTCCAAAAATGCACTAATTGTAGCTCGAGATTGGAACAATTTCAAGCATCAACTGGTCATGGAATTGGCAGCCGACTGTTGAAGCGGCTTCGATTTGCCATTGACGCGGTGCTGCTGCATCATTCAAAGGTGAAGCTGGGCAGTAGGGTGCCTGAATGAGGAGGCAAGTGCGATATTAGGACGTGCAGTCCACCAGAGAGGAGCCTGAGGCATTCTCATTGCCTAGTTGCTAACCCCTTGGCTGACATATGCAGGTTGCTTTGCGGGCACGCTTCTACTTGTACTGGTCTCAGCTATCCAATGTCGTGGGAGTTTACAACACTGTTACGTGCAAATTTAAATGGGTGCCTATTCATATGTGCATAGTGCTTAGAAAATGAAAATAGCCCGATGCTGAATGATGTAAAATGCTCAATCGCAATTAGTTGAACCGTTGAATTTAAAGAATTTACATGATTGACTTACCAAAAGTAGCAGAACATTGGCGCCAAGTCAAAATATAACACTTCGCAGTTATAACAATAATACCATGGTTCATTCATGCATTACACTGCTTCTTCTGCGACCTAGTAAACCACTACTTCTGGTGCGTTTCATCGTTTTTCAGTGTTTGAATAATGAATACCAAACTAACAGGGCGGACACATCTATTAAAGAGTACATTTATGAAAGCGCCTTACTTCAATGCCGTTTCCATTGCATATTGGTTGCATTTGTTTTCCTACAGTCTTCTGAAAATACCTGACTGACGTCTGTAAACGATGGAAGTTATCACCTAGCATGAGTCTAATATCATTTCATACTTGCAATGTGGTTAGAATAAGTCGATGATGCATTTACCTGCAGAAACTTATTGAGGCCTAGCTTCTGAAGACCGTTTTATAATGCGAATACAAAGAAGGTGCTTGCGAATAGCTTACTGTCGAAATAGCGGAGCTTGTTGTCAGTTTATTTTAAGATGTTCTTTTCACTGCTCATCCAAGTAAAATATATCTTATTTCCTGCCTTAGGAGTCTGTTCGATGTTTATGTTTTGAGCCGAGTTAAATAAGTCAACTTAGTGACAATGCAAGATGCCTCATACACACACATAAAGATGCAAACTTTTGCTGTAACACAGTCGATTAGAGCGCCGACTCTGTTACAAGTGGTTTTGTGGTAGATGATGCCTCATTGTTGAATGTATCCTTGTGGAATATGTTATACCGGTTTGGAGCTAAAGGTGGACTCGAACAAGATGTAAAACCCAAAAAGTTGAAACAAACAGTCTCTGAAAATTATCAGGTTTCTCCTCAATACGGTGAATCGTTAGCTAATTCCTGTTTAAATCACATTGCTAAGTATTATTCCAACATTATTTATTGGAGAAGACCAAATCCATAGTTCTTTTAATCTACGTATGCAGTAGGACATTGTTCAGTCTATTTCAACGAATGTCATGATATGAAGCAGAAAGTGAAAATGGATTAATGCATCCCCACCTATTTTTTTTGATACCGTCTTAAACCAATTGCAGACGAATGCATAACTTTTAACCTTCAAAGATCACAGAATCTTCTCATATGGTGACGCCAAATCTGCGAATACTGTAAATGAGGGGATGGTGTTGACGGAAACATAAAAAATTTGAGGCTTAGGAGACATTGTTGCTTTAAATCTATTTTCGTTCACATTCGTCCGCACATTTCGGTTACTTCCCAAACATCTACTACATTTCAAGTCACTGCATGGTTTTGCATTTCAGTGCTTATGATGAGCTCATTTAATCAAAAAAAGAGCGAAATTAAGTACCCGGATGTTTTCAAGTTCACAAGGTAATTGGTTACAATGTTAGCGATAGACAGGACATTTTGTATAAAAAGCGTGCTCAAGTGCTGATGGAGCGGCCTACTTCTAAGTTGTGAGTAGACTGACACACCTTTAAAATAAACGTTTAACAGAAGAAAAAAAAGGCTATCGAAAGCCGTGGTTAGAGAGTGTATAAGGGCGACAAAAATGAGGTGATTCATCACAGGTAAGTACCAGATCAGATGTCTCGATGGTATCGAGTGCTATCACATTTATATGAGCGGTAGAGTTGGAAGAAATTCTCGTCGCTATTCCTTCACACCATGCAACGTTTGTTTGAATTCGCTGTCTCATTAGGATATAACAAATTAAAGAATTAAGAAATGTTCGTCAAATCACTAAGCCTTATTTTTATACTAGTGGATAACGTTAAATCGGGCAAATAAATCCACTATTCTAGAATAACCTGAGTTCTGTTACATATCTGCAATATAATAAAGAACATTTTTCTCAATGTAAAGGCTATTTTTAGAATAGACTGAAATTCTGACATCCATGAACTCATGTTTTTCAGTATTTAGTGGCATGAAATCGCCTTAATTATGTTCCGGTGCTTACTCGGCATGTACAGAAAGTTGTATGCAAGCCGCATTGAGTAGAATTTTACTCAAAATGATTCGAGCGGAGGGAACTGCACCCATATCGTGACCAAAGACCAATGCAGATGGTAAACTAGGGCTGTTTGTACCAAGGTGCTACATTCCA